GTCAATATCATAAATGATAAGATTCAGAAGAAGGGGAAAAGGGCATCACTGACATGAACACCTATTCTTATGGACAGTCTCCCAAGTACCCATTTTGGTGTTTGATTTTTTTCTCCTATAGGAACCGTTTCCGTTATCCCTTGTAAAGTAAGTTAACTATCAGGAGAAAGTGCCGAGCAAGTGTAACTATATAGCATTTGTAAGGATTATGAGGACAAACTAAAATTTGGGATATAAGGACAGGGTAAAAGAATGGTGCCCAATCACTTGGACCATTGTGGATTGAATGCTGATCTTGCAAATGAATGAGTCTCCTGTAATACAAACAGTGCTATGTTGCATTTTTATAGCATTGGGCACTATAAAAATGTCTGCATGACCAATGATGCCATGCAACTGACATGCTGCCCAAGTTAGCAATATTCTCATGTCGAATGTAAACCCACTATGTGTTCTGTATGCTATTTCAAATATGTATCAAGGAAAACACTATGTGGGTGTCAAGACTTGGTGTAAGTGGTGTCCCTGGGAGAATGTTTGTGGCTCTTGGACATGCCCAGTAACCCAAACAGTTACACTGATTAGCCAGTCAGCCAGGCTAAATGCAGGCAGACAGCGCAAGCCCTGGAGATGATAGGATGATGGTCATTTCATTATTTTGTTCGATTTACCCACCAGAATATAGCATGGTGTAACAAACTAAACCCTGCCAACATTACTTTAAATACTTATTACATTTTATAAATAGATAAATTAATAGTACAGTATGTGTGATAAAATATTTATAATGTAAGTATTTAGGCGAGGTTTGCCTCCATTTGATGGCACAGGGAATGGGGTGTGCTACAAAATTGTCTATAAGGCCTGCTAGTCCCATGTAAGCAGAAATGGGCATAATGCAGTACAACCCACACATGAAGACTTTTGTCAGTCAACTGGCAAGATTCTGTGAACCTGGTTCAGATTAATTTAAGGCATGAAGCCTTCTCTTTGGGATTCCAGTGAAGCCAGCACTTCAGAAAGTAACCAGTACCACTTCTCCTTGCTTCTACAACCATGCAATCTTCTTAAATTGACCAAAAAATGTCATTTTGGCATGTAAAAACATTTGTTTTTATTGTAACTTTTTATATTCCATAAAGCTATCAAAGATATCCACAAAATAGGGTACAGCTGATAGAGCTCATGGGCCCCAACCTGTGGATAGGGTATAAATGCCTGTACAGTACTTTACATTTTGATAATTGCATTGCATTTCAATACTTTACAGTTGCCTAGCTCGCTGATATCCATTTACTGCTGTTGGTGAAAGAAGCATCTGGGGTGAAATAAATATTGCCCAAATGCTTCAGTCCTGCCATTGAAATCAAACCTAGAACCTTTTGGCTGTGAGCCGAATGCACTTACTACGCTTTATGAAGTGTAACAAAACACAAATTATCTGGCAAAGTCATCTATAACTTACAATACATGTATATACTAAACAATTAATCAAAAGTATTGAGATGTCATAAATAAAGCTTTGAGTGCACTGTAAATGAAAAGTTCATTTTGTGAGTAAGCTTTTTTGCTAGTTTCCTTACATCAGAAACCAGGAGGTAGGAGGTTGCTGCTTGTTCACTTCAGCAGTTTCTGGTGCTACAGCATTCATTCTCCATGTCTTTAGCTCTCCTGATATTGTTTCTAGCATGGCAGATTAACAAATGTCATAAAGTTCCTAACACCACCACCACCACCACTACTGGGCATTTGGTCTGTGTCTCTTTCCTGTATCCTAAGCTGGACAAAATGCCAAGCTGAGAACGGCCCCAAAACCACCCCAGAGACCCTAAAACAGTCCACAATCTAAATAGCAAAGGATAGGATCAGAGGTAACTCCAAAGAAGTGCCCAAGAGTCTGGATAAAAAGGGAAAGAAATGGATAGCTATTCAAAAAGGTCCCCTAAATCCCCAAATTAAGTCATCACAGCTTTCCACAGAAAGGAAAAGTGAAGGCAGAGGTGGGCTTCAGCACTCCAAACAAAGCCTCAATAGGGGAGCCCTTTCCACCTAGAAGTCCAATCAAATTTCCCCCTTCCCATGTCAAATGTGTGTAATAGTAGTAAAAGGAGAAGTTGCAGCTGAAAAACAGGACTAAATACCTCACAGCCCACATCTGTCATCTGAAAGATGAACAAGGGTGAGCATCCCTGATTCCCAACTCCAGCAGGAGTCACACAGGCCACGTGGGGGACCACAGGAATCTAAAGATTAGGCATTGAATATAATAAAATGCCCTATCTGGTAGACCTATCAATAACCCCTTGAACTTCAGTGCTGACATTGCCAAACCTTGGAAAATAATGCCGGGCTTGATACCCACACAAACTTACTGGGAACCAGGACCAGAATCTAGTGCTCTCTATGAGGTAAGGAAAGCCAAGGGATCAAGAGACAATATCCAAGGAAAACAAACCAGAAAGGATGGGTGCAACAAAAATGCAGCAAACAAATGTTGCTGCAGGATAACTACCCCGAGGAAATATATCCTGAAAAGTCAGAAGCATGGCTATCCTCAAAGCCCAGCCTCACCAGATAAGTGAATATATACAGAATACATAAATGAATAGTAAAAAATTTAGTTAAATTCCTGTGCACAGACTACCATCAGGTAGTAGATGGAGGAAGTTGTTGGGATTTAAATGGATGGATGGAGTTTTATTTTGATAGTTTGGCACTTCCCCAAAACATTTCTGAGGGAGTTCAGCTCTTTTGAAATCCTTTCTTTGTATTTATGGATATTTGTGTCAGTAATGGGTTCATTTCAGATCCCCCCCATGTGCTCCCTGCCTCATATTGAGTAAGGAAAATTGCAAGAGTCCTTGTCCCTAGTTGGCAATGATAGTTACATGGGTACCTGGTGTTGCCTAGATTAACCAGTATTGAACTGAGCATTAAGCTAGGGAAAATACCTAGTGAGTAGCCCAGAACAGAAATGAGGTAGTATGGACTGACCAGAGTAAGCATTTACCTGAGTAACAAAATTGTTGCAAGTTGGATATCAGTATTATAAACAGGAAATAAACATTTAACAGAAATAAGGGTGTAAGTCATGTCAAGTTATTGCACAGAGAAATATTCGAGTTTCAGTCAATCTAAACAAATTTCAGGAAGAAATAAACATGACCATTATGAACAGTTAAATACAGTAAAGTATAATAAAGAATATAATTTCCCATTGTCAAGGACAGGAAGCCTGTACAATATTTACGCTTATCAAGGTCCTCCCTTGGTCAACTACTGACCTTCCCCAGGATACAACCCACAACAGTTGCCTAACTCCTGGGTACCTATTTACTGCTAGGTCTACAGAGGCATCGGGTAAAAGGAAACGTGCCCAACCGTCTCTATCCTAGCCAGGGATCAAACCAGGGTCCCTCGGTTGCAAGCCAATGACGTTGAAAACTGTGCTACAAAACTCATATGAATGACAAAAAAAATACAAATCAAAGGAAAACCATTACAAATATGATTTTACAGAAAACAATAGTATGACGGGGTGGATGGCAAAATATGGATGTCAGGATGGATAACAAAATATGAATGATAGGATGGATGGTGAAATATGGATGACAGGATGGATAGCGAAATAGGGATGATAGGATGAATGGCAAAGTATGGATGTCAGGATGGATAGTGAAATATGAATGATAGGGTGGATGGCAAAATATGGATGGTGGGATGGATGGTGAAATATGGATGACAGGATGGATAGCAAAATATGGATGAGATGGATGGTGAAATATGATGACAGGATGGAGGGCGATGTATGAATGTCAGAATGAATATCGAAATATGGATGACAAAATATGGATAGTAAAATAAGGTTTGATGGGATGAATGGTGAAACATGGATGACAGGATGGACTGCAAAATATGGATAAGATGGATGGCAAAATGTGGATGACGGGATGGATGGCAAAATGTGGATGACGGGATGGATGGCAAAATGTGGATGACGGGATGGATGGCAAAATGTGGATGACGGGATGGATGGCAAAATGTGGATGACGGGATGGATGGCAAAATGTGGATGACGGGATGGATGACAAAATATGGATGACAGAATGGATGATGGGATGGATGGCAAAATATGGATGGCGGGATGGATGGTGAAACATCAATGACTGTATAGTTGTCAGCAGAATAAGTATAATGGTTGAAAAATTTATCGAGGCAAAATATAATAAAATATTTCCACTATAAATTTTTCATAAATTCTGAAAACATCATTTTTGACATTTCCCATATTGGAATTCTGTAGAACAGAACAGAACCAAATGTAATAATCCATTGAGGTAACATATTACATAAATTTCAGGATGTAACAAATGTGTTCTCACAGAGAAAAAATAACATTAAATAAATAAAAAATTCATTACAGTAAATTTTTGTTATGAGCATGAATGATTGTTACATCCTATTTAAAAAAATAAATATATCAGATTCAGACTTAATATGGGATTATCTTGTTTCTTCACCTCACTTCATCCCTATTTCTCTCGGCTTCTCTTCAGGATCCCCAACCATCAATATATAACTTCATGGGCCCCCCTGCCATCTTGCTACACCCTCCTGGGCCCCCCCCCTGCCATCTTGCTACACCCTCCTGGGCCCCCCTGCCATCTTGCTACACCCTCCTGGGCCCCCCTGCCATCTTGCCACACCCTCCTGGCCCCCCCTGCCATCTTGCCACACCCTCCTGGACCCCCCTGCCATCTTGCCACACCCTCCTGGCCCCCCCCTGCCATCTTGCTTCACCCTCCTGGCGCTACACCCTCCCCCCCCTGCCATCATGCTACACCCTCCTGGCCCCCCCTGCCATCTTGCTACAACCTCCTGGGCCCCCCCTGCCATCTTGCTACACCCTCCTGGCCCCCCCTGCCATCTTGCTACACCCTCCTGGGCCACCCCCCCTGCCATCATGCTACACCCTCCTGGCCCCCTGCCATCATGCTACACCCTCCTGGCCCCCTGCCATCATGCTACACCCTCCTGGCCCCCTGCCATCTTGCTACACCCTCCTGGGTACACAACACTGTATGTCTTTAGCCTTACATTTCTGCTTTGCCTCACTCTCCATCATCAGTTTTCCTATTAATTTTGGCTTGATAGTGGTCCTGAATAAACCAAAACATTGTTACTGTTCACTTTTATAATGTGTTCTTTTACTGTTTTACATAACTAAATATTCATATTTTGTACTCTTGCATTTGTAGGTAGACCATTAATTTTATGGAATTAAAAATTAATAACAATTAAATTTGTATATAAACTTACAATAATAATACAAATATGAGACTGTTACGGGATATTTATGCAAAATTTAAGGCTTGCAAAATAACTGCAGAAAGTTTATTATAATTTGCCGTTTTAGCCTTTGGCATCTTGAAATGATTACAGCAAATTTTTAAATGATAAAGTTTGACTTAAAATTTTAATGTTTTCTTTATTAGTGGGACTTATTAGTAGGTAATCAATAATAAAAAAAAAATTAAACTTTCAAGTAAATACAAAAATTATAATGGCATTATTTCTGTATTTAATTCTACTTCAAAGATAAATTCAAGTTGTCAGATAAATATATTTTAATGAATGAATTCAATATTTAATCCATCATTAGCATGCTTTTGAAAACATTCAGTGTGGCTGACTATATTACATTTTGATTCTTTACTCAAAGAAAACAATGACATCCAGCATTGTTTAAAAACTAATCCAAAATATTAGAGATGTGAGCCTATGGTATAAAATTGTTCACCGATTCAAAAGAATTAACAATAATGTTTGCTAAGACTAAACCTGATTAAACCCGATTAGTTTTCAAGGTGACGTACCCATGGTAGCTGGTGTGTACTGAGCCATGAAGTGCCCGGGCATAGGGTAATATTCAGCAGTAGGTGGCGGAGGTGGTGGTGGTGCCATTGGATAAGGAGTCATGTTATGTGGGTACTGTGGTGCCTGTCCAAGCCAGTGTGTGTGTGTTACTGTCGCATGGGTAGGCTGCTGCATGTGGTTGTGAGGGGGAGGAGGAGGATGAGGTGGTGGCATCATGTGAGGTTTAGGAGGTAGTGGTGGTGGTGGAGGAGGAGGAGGATGATGTGGTTTTTGAACAACATGATTGAGACGTTTCATGCAGTGATGCTGCATCCCAGGCTGAGACACTTGTACTGCTGCATCTCCACAAGAAGCAGCAGCAATAGGACCCTGGTGGCTCATGACTGCTACACTTGATGGATGAATAATGGGTGCAGATGGAGCGGGTGGCTTTTTCTTGCGTTTAGATCCCTTTATCAGCCTCGGACCCCCTCGGCTTCCAGCCTCATCTTCTATACTTGTCCATATTGACTTTACCTATTTATTTAAAGCATAAAATATATATTAGAAATTCTCAAATTTCATAGGTTATAAATAAGGGATATAAATAAATATAAAATACAGTACCAAGATATTTGATAAAACATAAGTTTAAATAAGTGTTATAAATAATGCACAAAAATTATTGAATTAAACTTAATGAAGCATGAAATTTGAGGCAGTCATGTGAACAAAAAATTGTGGAATCGGGTAACTGGTATGATGTAAGATGGTAAATCGAGGAGAGGAAAAATAAAGCTTTGAATGTAATAAAATGCTCTCTAATGGTGGGGCCTCTCCATATCTTCCATGCTTCATGCTGGTGAAGCTATGCCTCAGGGAGAAGTACCAAACCTTTTCATAAATTTGCAATGGTCTGGATGGTGTTTCAGTGTATCCATCTCCCATGGGTCTCTGCTTTCCATCTTCATTTGGGTTGTGATGTTGTGGTTTGTTACCTCAAGAGGATTACCTCAAGAGGCCTGTTCATTCCCTACCCCTGTGGGACTGGATTCTGAGGATAGCCTTGTTTCTAGCTTCTTGGGGTATAGTCCTCAGTGTGGTTTAGATTCAGGTTGTGTTGAGCATTCTCATAGATGATCTTTCTCACTTCCATCCAATATCAATAAAATGGTTCATGGATGAGGCCTCCTTTCTCTGGCTTTGCAAGAGGTTCAGCCTTCTGCAAGTTGGTCTGTTTGCCTCCAGTATATTGTGTGTGGCATAATTTCCAGATTGCGAGGATTTCCGCTCCAAGCAACAGCCTAGTGGACCAAACTCTCACAAGTCAAGCCTGGCCTTGGACTGGGCTTGGAGAGTAGAACAACTCCCAGAACCCCATCAACCATGTATCAACCAGGTTTTGTGGTGGATGCATTTTGAGGAGGGAGGATTCAAGTCTCGACTCTTAGTAGGCAAGAAGAGGTCTCAGTGGCCTGGTGTATCTTCTTCAGGCTTGACTGGACCAGCACTTGGGTCAGGGAAGCTAGTGAGAGGCCCACCAGAAAAGAGCATTTCATTACATTCAGTGCATGAGTTTTGGCTATACCGACATTAAATGCAAACTTACCTGTTTTCCATACATCCATCTTGTTCTTATAACAATAAATACTTTATCTATTCTTCGATTATATATTACTGAGCTGTCTCGGATTTTTTTTCAGTTGGTTCCTTCTACTTCTTCATTTGTACATGCTTACTGAGTAGTCCTCATTCATTCCACACACACTACTTTTTCAGTGTAAGAAAGTGGAGTCTATTTCAGTTATAACTAAACAAGCATCTGGCATTCTTGGCTGAATGTTTTAAGCGTTCCTTCAGAAGTCTTAGTTTGATTATTTATATTTGTTTGATATATAAATATAACATATATTTCTGTCATACTGTGTTAATGAAGTGGGATATAAGATTAGGTGTGTGATTGTTATGAAAAATACTTTTCAGTTGATTAAACTGCTATTCATAAAACCAAAAATGAAAAAGAAATTGGCATTCAACTTACCGTTTGCTTAGAGAGTGTTATAACCTTACGGTGTTCTTCAGGTATAGCTGTCGTTCCTAATCGTTCACTTATTATAGTTTCCCATACACTTGTTAAGTGCCTTGCAGTTTGAGAAGACTTCATCTTCATGATAGACAAAAGGGAGACAAAGTAGTGATAAAATTCTTGCGTCATAACTATATCTGTAAAGAGGAAAATTGCAGGATTTTAGACGGCAAAAACATGAACTTGCTTCACACGGGGAATATAAATTATTAGACCCCTTGACTTGCATATCATTTGTAAAAGATACAAGAAAAATACTCTCTTGCATAATATATATATATAAAATGATCAAAGAAATACATCCTTGCTTTATGTCATATACAAGTGATCAAGGAAAAAGTACACTATTGCCTAACATGTATTAAACGAATGATTTGATGTGACAATTTTGTTTTGAGATTCAAAGTGCAAAGCTGTCACATTGTCCCTCTATTGATCTATTAGTTGGCTACACTTGATATGTTTAGAAAGATTGGTTATAGTGAGGTCCTGATTTGAGAGATGTCACTACTGTATTTACCAAATATAAAGTAGTGACATCTCTTCAAGATGTCAACTTCAAGAACAAGAGGTTATAGATTTAAACTAACTAAACAAAGCTGCCGAAGAAATGTAAGAAAATTCACTTTCGTAAACAGAGTGGTAGACGGTTGGAACAAGTTAGGTGAGGTGGTGGAGGCCAAAACCGTAAGTAATTTCAAAGTGTTGTATGACGAAGAATGCTGGGAAGAAGGGACACCACGAGCATAGCTCTCATCCTGTAACTACACTTGGGTAATTACCCACACACAACAATATGCCACTCGATATGGTTAGAATCATGTGAACATAAAATACACATTATTGAATGCCATATCAAAACCTTAGGTAAAAATGAATATATATAATGTGCTAGTAACATGATGTAAAGATAGAATGGACAGAGAAAGAAAGATGTATAATGAGATTCAAGTTTCCATTGAACAGTAGTTAACACAAAAACTCACACATTAGAAATATGAAAAGTAAAAACTTTTTGTGCCATCCCACATTATCATGATGTTGAAATGATGGTCCAGGATGGACTTAAATGACCTGCCTTTCTTTGTTTCTAATGTATTTGTTGGTATAATGGTTAATTAATTGTTCCAGCCATGTTACTGTGACTTTTACTGAATGGGAGTGTTTCACATGCTATCAAGTACAGTATCAAAGAAGTGTGTGGCAGTATGCTGCAGAGAAAAATATTTAAAAGTAAATTATGTATGAATTCTAAGTTTTAGAACAAAAATACTGTTGAAAAGTTCTTTTGTACCTTAACTCGCACCTAATATTTGGCTTACAATACACATTTTAAAAACACCCAAGATACATACCTCCATACATCTTGACATTGACTGAAGCTTTAGCAGTAGTGTCATTTCTGAATGATGCTCTGGCACTTGGATGAAAAAGTGTAAAGTTACAGTGATGAGTTTTACAGTCTAACTTGCGATATATCAGAACCATGGGAACAGGCAAATCCATACACCGTCGTTTCATTCGAGCTCCTTTGAAAACTATTTGGCAAGTCTGGTCCCCAGGGGAGGCCTTAAAAAGAGAATAATAGATTTAATAAAAACAACTGCCTGGAGAGCACTTTTTTTTTTTTTTTAACTACAGTAAGCAGGCTCATTTTAACTAAGGAACCAATCTGACACAATAATCACACCTGGTAAAACTGAAGAAGCATTCTGGAGTATAGGTAAATAAGCTCCCATCAACATTCATATAACTGTCATTAGCCAGATTTGTTTATATTAACATTCATAATGTGGATAAGGATGATATTTATGCAGCATTAAAATTTGCATAAAAAATCATGGTATGCCATCTCTGATAAAAGAACCATTATCACAAAGCAATAAGTATAATTTTGATTTTCCCTGCATTCAACAGCAAGAAGGCTGTTTAAATCTCTGCCAAGATGTCTCGGTGTAATAGCCACAAGTGGACATCACCTGTGTCATAATATTTGCCAACAAACCATAATGATGCCTCGGTAAACACACGACTTGACTGCAAAGCTGAACGTTGTGATAGGCTCAAGGGTTGTAAATTGTCTAACAAACTTCAATATGAATGAAAATGTGATTTCATGTGTGAGGTTGTGTTGTGTACGGTTGTGTGTGTCGTTGTATCTTCTATGGTTTTTCGTGTGAAGCTGTATGAGTGTGTGGCAGGATCGTGGGTGTGGTTGTGTGTATGAGGCTGTATTAAGTGTGGTTGTATTGAATGTGTAGTTATGTTATGTATGTCTTGTGTATGTAATTTATTAAATATATTATGTTGTTCAAAATGTCTTATTACCTATAACATACAGCATTCACACCCATCATATGTGTTGTATTTGAATTTAAGTATTTCTTGCTGCCTACGATATCTTTTACAATAGTGCTTTAACAAATAATTGTTGTACTGTAGGGATGAGCAAAATTTGAGCTTTATTTTGGTAATACACCCACTAAACTGTTTAAAAAGGAAATGCAGCAGAATTTTTATTAAATGAAAATAAACGGAATAAAAAAATTTACAGTAAGACTGCCATGTACTGTCATGTCTCAGCCTGGCTTGGGAAAATCTTGCAGCACACGGGAAATTCCAACCATTAGAAAATCTAGAAAATTCTACTTCTCAAACAAGACTGGCTCCAGTTCTGAATTACCATCTTGGCTCCTTGTAGCAGGAATAAGAACAAGAGTCCGTGAAGAGGAGAGGAAGAGAGAGAGAGAGAGAGAGAGAGAACTGTGGGAATCCTCATGAAAGGAGCAAGCCCAGTTCAAACACAGACATTCAGAAAAACATCCAACGTGAAGCTGAGGAGGTGTAAGCTTGAATTGGAAAGGCAAATAGAATACATTCCCCACCTGGAGATAGAAGCTCTCCACCTTGGGAATTAGATCCCAGGATGGGTCAAACAGCAACCAAGGTCTCTCTCTTCAGTGCCCATCAATAGCCTGGAAGGTCTTCCCAACACATTTGTCAATAGAGTTTGGCTTGAAACTACCATCCCTCTTCTTCCCCGCACACTTTCCAACCTGAGCCTAAGGCTTTGGTTTAGAGGTAGCCCTGGGATGCCAGTGCAGTAAGCTAATGGGAGCAATTAATGCAGACAAATGTAGAAAAATGTAAGTATGGAAGGTGAAATAAGGGTAATGAGTGGGAGAAGAGTGATAGGTGAGGTAAACTAGTAAAAAGGTAAAGTTAGTATGGACGCAAAGAAATTACAGAGTATAATACTCATAATGTTGATATGTACAAGTTAGTCATGTGTAAAGAGCACAAGCAGTGGAATATATGTATGTGCAGTGAGTAAATAAAGAAAGTATAGGTTAGACCTATAATATATATAAATGAATTTAGGTGGATATAAATATGTGCTGCTTCATATGGGCCAATAGGCCTTCTACAGTTTTTTTTATTCTTATGTACTTAGGCATCATTGAACTGTGTTGTTATACTATACCTTATGACATGCCGGAGGTTTCCAAGCCACTCTCTCATTTTTGTCATTAACAGTAAAGATGTCATATGGCACCCTCTGAACTACTTCCTGCTCTACAGCAGGTCCCAGCGTAAGAGCTTTATACTTCGGAGGTTTCCTCTTTATTTTTGGCTGCGATAATCCATTCACAATAGGTGCATTAGATACCCCCACAGGTACTCTTGTGCTAGTTCTTTGAACCCCTGTTCCACAACAAGTCTCTTGAATTTCCACAAGGCATTCTACATAAGCATCAGAAGACATACCCAGATTTAAAGAGTATGGTGTGCAGGTATTGGTGCCCACTTTAGGCTGATTTCCATCTGTTTCATTTACCTCTGGTGTGGCTTCATCCTCTGTTGCTGCAAATTAGTAATCCTCATAAATTAAATAACATTCTGATTTGGCAAAAATAATTAATAAATTTACTCAAAGATAGTTAAAAAAAATTTGATGTATTACACTGTATTGTGTAATACATTAAATATATTTAGCAACAATTCTGTACATCTTCATTTACTGTGGTCATGATACATTGGTGACAAACATCATTATCATCATAACCTACACTATTAGTCCTAGGCATCAAAAAATAAATTAACATTTGCAATCAATGTTAAACATAGGTTCCTAGTCCAAAGATCAATAATACTGTACTGTGTTACAAGACTCATCAGGGGGGGTCAAATGGCTCTGTCCCAAGCTTTTGTGCCTCCTTTGCTTTCCCATGGATGCATTTCTGGGTCTTGGTTTGCAACCTGGATATGTCTCCATTGCATAGGTGTTCTGTCAGTCTGTACTTCCCTAGCTGTGGTTCATGCAGACTAGCCTTGATTACTGCTGTGGGACTGGGATCATGTGTCTGAGATGAACCACAACTTATTTGTGTACAGATCATCTGCTTTTTAGTTGTGGTATGAGGTCTCAGTTTCCTCCCGATTGGTGGAGATTTCCCCCTTGTTTTCCTTGTTTATCTCGGTGATATCTTTTCTGCAGCTGTTAACTGTGCTCAGTTTATGTCTGCCCTTCTCTACAATTCCAGGGATGGCAGTGCCAATTCCAGGTGCTTAAATTGCCTTTGAGTGTGATGGACTATAAATTCTGCACACCTCAGAGAAGATAACTCCTGTCGGGCAAAGGAGTTGCAAGTGAGCTACCAAGAAAGATAGCCCTGACATATTGAAGGAGTGAAACACAGAACCCTAAGATTGCCATTAAAACCTCAAAGACAAGCTTTTGAAACCTTTGGTGGTAAGAATTGCCCCCAAAGGTTACTGTCCCAGTGCAGCCCACCAGGGAGTTAGAGGGCAGCTCTGCAGAGGATGGGTTCAGTCAGAGGTGGACACAGTCAACAGCATTGAGTGCAGTGGCAAGATGGCAGAGACTGGGTGTCCTGGGTATCCATCTGGTGGCAGTTGGCCAGAACACTATTAGGATATTTACTATGCAGAAATTATCATTTACTTTGTTTACCTTAGTGCATAATGTCCTTCAAGCAGTCACTTGTTTTCTTGCAGCTATCCTTCCTGGTGGGTTTTTCTTCAGTTTTGAGTTGATCTCTGATCCCCAAGCTTCTCCTGCATCATAAAATAATCCAGATTCTGATCTTCCAGTAGTAAAGGGTGGGTCTCAAAGGCCTGGTGCAACTGGGTAAGTCTTGTCAGTACCAGCATTTAAGCCCTGGGAGCTACTGAGGGGACCCTCCCAGAAGCAAAGAAACATCATGAGAAGAATGTGAAATTCCTTGAGTGACAATGCAAGCTTAGCACCAAAGCACTGGTCTGGAACGACATTTTTTTTTTTTTTTTTTTTTTTTTGCAAAATCAAAGCTACGTTAAAGACAACGACCAACAACTACAGAAAATATATCTCTAAGGCTGTTGACCTTTGTCAAACATCACCAGGTACAGGAGTCCTGAAACACAGCTTCAATGGACTGCAGCTTTCTCAATAGCAGGCAAACGACTGGTACACCACATCATGAAACTAACACTTTGCCAGAATGCAATTAAATATCAACCATGTTACTGTATTGTAAAGGTTTTAATTAAAATATAATGCATATAATCTGCCATTGAAGAGCACAGCAAGGTGATAGATGGATGCCAGGATTAATAATGTGGGTAACCCACTCCTCCGACCATGTTACGGTGATAGTGAGGTCTTCTGGTGGTAGGCAGTGAAGCCTTTGAGCTACTATCAGTAGTTTGCAGAGCAATAATTGGTGGTGGGAGATGTTTTCATGTCCAGAAATCAAACACTCAAGTAATTACTTGGTTGATAATGACTGACACATTTATTTTCTCCAGTGTTAGTGTTAACAAATAAAATCCACTGGAAATTTATATAAGTTCTAATATTCTATTGAAATTCACCTGTAATCTTAACTGTGAGCACAGCACTTGTCTGTAGGTGTCAAAATAACTCATGGTATACCTCTAGCTCTCTTCTTAGCCCGACATTTTGCTGCTGCTACTCTTCTGAGAAATTTCCTTCGCTCTGTTCTGTCTAGGCCTGCTAAATCTTCTTTTGAATATCCTCTCTCCTTAAGACACACAGATTTCTTGAGGTGCCTCCGAACATTACTTCCCTCATGAGACCAGTACCCACAGTGACCACAAGCAAGCAATACATCACCAAACACTTCTTGGCCCATTAACATTACCTGAAAAATTGAAAATAATTATATAGTAACTTAACACCGAGTCAATTGGTGAAGGATAATCAATGGGAGTTCCATAATTTGATCTTTCAGTTACTCGTCTTTATATGTAACCCGTGAAATGGTTTTAAATGTGCTTTATAAGACTACAATTATGACTGACAAAAGTTAGCATTGAATGTAAAAAAAAAAAACACCCTTCTCTGGTGGGACCTCCAGAAGCACTCTGAGCTAAATGCTGGTCAAGTCAAACCTTTTGAGAGATGTATAAGGCCTTTGAAATCCACCCTTGTCTACCAGGAGCTGGGACCAGAATCTGCCATGCTCTACGATATAAGAGAACTTAAATCATAGAGATACCCACTAGCCAGCTACCTCATTCATGACCTGTATGAGCAGAAATCCCATAACTTCTAGGGGAAAAAAATGAACAGGGCAGGGGACATGGAAGCTACCGAGTGTCCCGCAAGAAAGTGTTCTATTGCATTCAACGGTTGGTTTGAGGAAGGATTCCCTTAGTAGCTTCCAATATTAAACACATTGTGGCCCATGGTAGAGAAGGCCAGCTTTCCCGAAAAGGAAGAAAAAATTAATAAAACAGAAAAGATGGACTGGGCTTGTCCACTGGAAAAGGAGACAAGATAAGGAGGCCCATGGTAGAAGAACAATAGCATGGTAAAAAATGCCTCAGTGCAACAGAAGTGCAATAAGGTTGAGGGACCAAGATAAGCCAATAGTTAATTGTGGACCACCTGAAGTCCAGAGCCTGGATAGGATTTGGCTATGAATACAGTATATTGGCATCGGTATGTCATCAACTGACAATCTCAATATTATCTATTGCATAAAGAAATCCAGAGCCCATAACCCTTGATAATTGTCCATGAGGCAAGGGATACTGGCTACCTGAACCATATGCCAATAGGCAGGTTGGCCAGGCATAGAGAAAGCATCTGAAATGAACAAACACCCACCTCTGATTTGCACCACCTGGCAAGAGAAAGCACATACAGCCATTGACAAGAACAATTAATTTTACCCCTTTTGGGTAAAGGGAAGGGCCTGACTGCACATAGAGTAGATTAGGTAAGATACCCACAGGCATAATGCTAACTACTGTACTATTACTCCCCATCAATAGTCCTCACATTGGGAAGAAAGCTTATATGCTACCTGGAAGTGAGATGATTTTAGAGTAGTCAACTTGAAGAGAAGGAGAAAAGATAAATCTGGTGGGGCTAAAGAAGTGCAAACCGATCACCAGGAAAGATAGTCCTAACCCACAGCTGCAGAAAAAATGTAAAAACTGGGCATACAAAAGGTGGGTGAAAAAAAAATACAAACATGAAGCTGGAAAGGGAAAATACCAAGCAGTGGCCCTGTGCAAACCTAAATGTCCTAAGGTTAGCCAACACCACTTATCTGAAAATGTGAAGCTAAATGTGGGCCCATCAGAGATGTGTAACCCAGGCAGCACCAGCTGAGTGAATGAGAAAGCAGGGACCCTGGGATGCCCTCTGGTGGCTGATGGGTGTATCATGGCTAGTATGTTTACTCTGCTCCTGGAGAGCCTTGTTGTCCTCAGGGTTATTTTCTCCCATCACCTCAAGAGTCAAATTCTGTTCCTGGCTCCCAGTAGGCTCGAGTTTGTCTTGGAGGCCTGGTAAAATTCCGTAAGGTTTGGCAGTCTCAGAGCTATAGCCCGAGGAGCTATTGAGGAGACCCTTTCCAAAAAGATGAATAATAACATAAGTGAAGAGAAGAATACTTTTTAGCATATTTATGGAGCTCATAAAGCCAATGAAATGGTTCTTATGGAACACTCAAACAAACAATGTAAATATGAGAAAATTGGAACATGCATAGTTGGGAAGAGCTATTGGACCGAAGGTAATAAATTCAAAATGGGATTAGTTTGAAAACACTAAAACTAGAAAACAGTTAATAATAAAAGTATTAAATATTATTCCATTGTCAGAAACAAAACTTGAGGAGAGTATAATAGAGGTGTTATTTCCAAAGGGATATTCAATTTATAAATTTAAGTGTTTTCCTAGTACTGGTATAACCCAATGAAAATATTGAAAAAGTCACCTAGTCACAGAAAGTTGTGCTCTGATAGCACTAGATTCTAACTAGCAGTTGTCCAGACCTCTCCATAAGGAACAATCAAGTGGAATAGTTAAGAAATATAGTACAGATATGATTGCAAGATATCCTGATGGGAATGAATTTCATACCACAATATAATAAATATTAAAAAAATTATCATACTTTTCGTCCTCCCTTTTTTCTGATGCCACGATTTGTTGATTCATGATTGCGTGTAAAAACCCTGAGAAGAAACGGTTCCTCTTCTTTGATAGCATATACTCGATGAAGATTTAAGAACTCTGCAGTAAACCATTCAGTTATCTGAAAAAATTTAATTTATTTAACATTTGCATTTACTGTATTTAATGACTACTGTATAGGGAGATAGTGTTTTGTAAGCCATTTCCTACATAAGGTGTGAAAATACATTGCCTAAATGTCTCCATTATCCCAATTTTTAATATCCAGCTAAAGCTTATATGTATATTATATTTTCACAACAATGATGATACAGTAGTCAAAAAGAACTGTAGAGTTTGTAAAATATATTTTTTGAGTAAAGAAAAGATAAAATCAGGCTAAACGATTTCCAATGCATCCTTTCCAACTAACCACCTGAGTGGCAAATGCTCTCTTCCCTCAAAGTAATCCAATATCTAAATACACAGCAGATGTAGCTTAAATGTAAATGATCATAGACAAATAGGGTCAGAATCATTTAAATTCTCTTCATCCTATACAGTAACACATTAAAACAAATACAGGAAGTTGAAGTATTTATGGTTCAAAAAGGTCTTGTGGAGCTATGGACACCTTTACTCAATATGAAAAATGGTACCTGCACTGTATCCTGAAATATTCAAGACATTAAATATTGCCCACAATTATGTTATTTCTATTTTGAAGTGTTTGTCTATTAGACAAATATTTCATGAATTTATATTAAAGTACAGACCCTAAATGTGTGCCAAGGCTTGAATTTAAACTTATTTGGAGAGTACAGTACATTAGGTACAGAACAGGGTTACTATTCAAGATGTTATTTTGCATTTAAATTTCATTAAGCTGTCTTACTTTGCATGAAGACATTGTTTTTGTTGACAATAAAGTACTGTATTGATTTATATTACAATGATTTGGTTGTAAAATAAAGCAAGCATTCCTCTCATTTATATTATTTGGTGTTTTAATGTTTTTGTATATTTATGACCAAATAATTTGTGGGTAATTCCTTGCAAGTATTGCTGACAAGGGAATAGTGTTCAGAAGGCAAATTGTGTATTGTCACTAAATCCTAGCAATCTCTCACTCTTCATATTGCTTATTAATTAAATATATTAAAATGCACATGTTATTCATTATTTGTCTACTGAACTACTACTGTACTACTACTTAGGGCCATGTGATTTGTCTACCACTGTAGTATTTAGAAAAAAAAAATTGCCGTTTTGTATGAGCCTTAAAAATAAAATAAAATAATAATAATTCATTGTGTTGCAGGACAGGCAGTCAGTTTATACATGCAGTACATGTTAGGCCTGTATCAAGGTCCCGCACCAGGGTTGAATTACTGTACTGACCCTCACCAGGATGAATCCCTACAAGCTAACCCTTGACTAACTCCTGTCACCTAATAGTAAATAGGTACTATTTAATGTTAGGGGCATTAGGTGATAGGAAAATATGCCCAATCATTCCTGCCCTGCCCAAGATACGAACATGGAACTCTTGATTCCGTACTACTGGGACTCTTTGGTTTCATTAGTACATGATTGGTACAGTATTCATGTACCAAAAATGTTTGGTATACAATGCTATACTTCTTGTTAAGTTTTTATATCATTATTTCGATAGGCCTAGTAGTTATAATTACACGCTATATTACAGTACAGCATTGTACAGTACAGCATTGTACAGTAAACAAAAATAAACAAGCTTTTTACTGTTTAATGTGTGTGGAGGCAAAGACTGCCTAGCACTGCATAACTTGACATTCTCCTTTTGATTTTGATATAAAAAATATGCAACAATATTTATTCTAAAATTTATCTATCCTTAAATATAGCAAAGAATAGTCTTTGTACATTGGAAAACTTAGTCGAAGAGATGAAGTATAGTTCAAATTAATATACTGGAAGGAGACTTCATTGTATGTCAGTCACTCAACACCTTTATGCAAATCCTCAGCTGGGCTCAATATAGAGGCACACAAATCTTGTACAGTACTGTAGAGATGGTAGGAAACAGAAACTTCTTTCTTGCAACTTGCCTTTGCAACTTACCTTTGATGGATTAGTTTTGTCAATATCACCTTTGCACCCTATATACAGCAGACCTGAAATAAAGAATTTTGGTAATGAAAATTTGTAAATTATGTACTGTAATTCTGTACTGTACTTAATCTTAGTACAACAAAGACAAAGCATTTGTTAGTAAAGATTGTCAATAACAGGGGTAAGACAGGAGAGTACAACACAAGGCTCCATAAATTAATACTGTACTCCCACACTGACAATACATAAATTCAGATTAGAATATGTGACCACCCAGAATGAAATGAAGTCCCTGACAAAATGTGTGTGTGCATATGCCAAGCTACTTTGGGTTTGGTCTTTATTTTGTTTGAATAGTATTGTTTAGTAATTATCTTATCAAGTGATAAAATTTAATTCTGTATGGTTTAAAGTTAGGGGTTTTCCTATTCCCCAAACGAAGGACACAGCCGCTGTGTGCGTCTGCTATGCTACAATGAGACTCCATAAGCCACTGGCTTAAAAAATACAAACCTGAGAAGTAGATGTGAGGCTTATCAATATTCTAAGTTACATAAGACAAACACAAAAATATTTTATATACATATATTAATGGTAATAACTGATCTATCCAAATGCTACTTACAAAATATAAAATAATTAAAAGCACTTTTGCACACTTACCCCCAGCCTCCTTTAACCCTTCTAAATTAAAAACTACTTTCACTTTATTACTGAGATCATCATATAATTGACCCTTATCAGTAGCAACTATAGAATTCTCATTCTCCTTCTCTCCCTCACACGAACTCTCGGAGAGTGTGGGTTCTCTCACCACGGCTTGGGTAACCTCGGCTTCACTATAATCTGTCCGATTCTGTCTCGTATGTATGTGGTTTTCTGGGTCGACAATCCTTTGGAGAGGCTCGCACAGATCATTATTTAGTATGCCGGAGTCTGTAAACGTTTGATTACAGTGATTCAGTGATTTGATGTTTAAAGAATGGGTTTGTACGCATAATTCAGTGCCAGAGTTTTGAATGGTGTTTCCACCCATGTCGTCTCTCTTGGCCGGAGAATTAGCCATTGCTCAGAGGAAGCCATATAATGTCACATCAATCAAGGCAGACTAAATATGAGGGAGGCTGTGAGGGATGGTGTGAGGGGGAGAGGCATCGTCTGCACCCTATGTTTGTAAACACTGAGGGTGGCTGGGATGATGGGTGGGGGGGGGAGGCGTTCATCTAGAGACTACGGATGTAGTCCCTGATTGTGACGATTGTTGTTTTATTTGTATTTATTGTATTTATTTATATATACAAGAGTATTTACATTCTTGTACAATCACTAGTACGCGTAGCGTTTCGGGCAAGTTTAGTTTTTTTTATAGACCTACAAGGAGCTTTTGACTGCCTCTCATAAGGTTATCCTCAGGTTTCGCAGGCTTTCAGGGAACATATTCTACAGCGGATAACTAATTTTTCTGATCCTGAGGAAAGAAAAAATACGACAGTATGTGGCTTATTTAATAAGTAGTAGAAAACATAAGTAAGATCTGTTTTGCAGAACACGTAAATGAAGTGGCTATAAGATCGTAGCGAAGTATCCAAAATTTGCTTACTGTAGGTAATGCATGCACATGACTGTAAAGCTGCCGCCCAGTTGGGTGGGTGTGCAACAAGACTAGTAACTGTGTGACTCACCATAGATGTAAAGTGCCTTGTATAGTGACTGTTGTGAGCCTTTTGTTGAATCACTTGTGACATAAAAGATTATTGATGTGTGTATTTGTGTGGGTGATTAAATATGTATGTGTATGTATATATATGTATATATATGTATACGTATATATATATGTACATGTATGTATGAGAATGTGTACATGTATATATAACATTAATAATTTTGTAACTAGCGTCAAAAATTATTTGCTTAGCTAAACGAACTAGAGGGTTCAGTTCCTGAACCGATTATGTGCCTCTGTAATCCTTTACACCACCACCCACGGGATGGGTATGGGGTGCATAATAAAGAAAGAAATTGAATTGAACAATAGGGAAATCTTCGACAAGTCGCAGGCTTCCTGTCCTAGTCGAGGCCACTAGAGATGGCCTTCGGGTAAATACATTACAGAATCTCAAGGCTTGGCTAAAATGTGGATCGCATTATACAAAAACAATTACATAAGCCTACAAGTTAAGCTGCAATTGTGCAATTTTTAATTTTTGTATAATTAACCTATTATCACTGTAAATATTAAAATGGAAAACCATTAAGTCCTGAGTGTGCCTGGAATTTTTTTTTTAGCAAAGTTAGCCCTAGACTTTTTCAAATATTTTATAACAGTTAGCCCTACAATTTCTTTATTATTTTTTAATTTGTAAAGTAGATGGCGCTAATACTTAGGAACAGTTTCGTTACCGAATAATTCATCTCATAATATATCGTAGAGATAAAGGACAGTGTCACAGCTCACTGCAGCAGCATGTAAACAGAACAGTCTCAGCCGGGCGACGCAAAATACAAGACTTACCTTAAAAAGATTCCCGCAAGGTAACTCTGAATACCATTAAGGTACACAGGAGGAACTCATAAGATAAGATGAATCAAGCAGAGATTCGAAAGCTGATCCCGGCGCTGCGAGTGGCCATACAAGGGAAGCACAGGAAGTTCTCCAGCCCCAAGGGTCCTGAGGGCAGACTCCACATGCTGCGCACCTCAGTCTCTCACCTCATCAGAGATGAGAGGATTGAACTATATTACAACCGGGCTGATGAGACTAGAGGCTATGCTGAACGAGTAAGATATTATTGTTTAACCCGTCCTCAGACTAAGTCCATTCCACCCAGCGGTCGACCCTAAAGAGGCATTCATCAATTTTAACACACTGTTCATTCAAAGAATGAATTTTCTCACAAAGATTAATATTATATATTAGCATGTTGTGCATATTTAGACATTGGTTAGATTAGGTGTTTAAGTTCTGTTGCCGATTATTTGTATTTGTAATGCGAGGGTGAAGCATTTACAGCGTTGTCGTTCGAACAAAAGTTGTCAGCGAAGTACTTGTTCCGGAAGTGTTTGGACGTCATCAGTTGAGTCGTGTGTATTCATTCATAAACAGCGGGTTTGGCCTGTGCACAATCACTTTTGGTCTTTGTTTATGAGGACTGGCTATATTGTTTGTTTGCAGGTCACTTTGTACCCATGACGATTTGCCAACATTTTAAGATATATAACCTAACAACATATATATGAGGTAAGGTAGAAAATTCAATAGGTCCGTCTAATTACCCAAAGCTACCCAAATCTACTCAAAGCTACCCAAAGCTTATTAACAATGTTTAAGTAATGAAGAACTATGATATACTTACTCACTATAATGGTGTTGAATGTAGAACATGGAAAATTTTTTTACTCTGAAATAATATCTTTTATAATGAAATTAGGCTAATCTAATTAACAAAAGCCACAACATTGTCGCTTGGAGTGTCAACTTCCTGTGCCGTCGCCTGCCACTTAGTTTCGTCTAATTTTGTAATGAAATTATATTTCGGGGTAAAATTATGTTTTTTTTCATATTTTACATTTGGCACCAACATTATAGTGAGTAAATATATAATTTCTTCATTACTTTTGTAATGCTAGGAAGCTTTGGGTAGCTTTGGGTAATTAGATGAAGAGATTCAACTACAAACGAGATCTTTGACAAGCCACCAGTCTCTTGTCCACCTCCAGTTGAGGTGGACAAGGTCTGGCCCCCCAGGTAAAATAATCCCAACACTAACCTGTAATAGAAGTAAATCTGTCCCCTTCACACTGGACACGGGGAAAACACAAGTAAGTTTAGTTCCTGGTTTTATTATCACAGAATCCCAACCCTATAATAAAACCCCTGGCACTGCCTCTTGACATTTACTTTAGTCAGAATCCCCCCCCCCCCCCCTTTTGATACAGATAGACCTACCAATGAACACTAGGCAAACCCAAAACTTATGAAGGAAGTACAGTGCAACATTCCGCTTGCCTCAAAAAGTACACTAAAGATTTTTTCCAAGCTGACTCCCACTAGACACAACCACTGTGGAGAAGGCTTTGAGTTGTCTTCATGGACAGACATTAAATTTATAAGAATGGTGGTCTGTAATTAACTGAAGTAAAAAAACTTGGCTGCAATTAAAATCTCTGCAGTACACACAGTCACCATGTCCTACAGTTAGCTACAAATTGAATTTGGCGTCGTGACGCTGCCACTGACTGTCCAAATCTCGTATAGTAATGGTTACTTAACAATTGTTTTACCCCCACCAATTTTTTAAAATAACATCCCATATATGATATAACTTTCTGGCTGTTTAATAATTAACTATTTTATCCCATTACATCTAGAACCACCCAGGAGCTTACATGGTATAAATTCATAATTTCCTTGGCAGCACAACTGCTCAACTATAGCTCAACTGCTCCCACACTCAACAAATACTCTTTAGTTGTTTGTAATATAATTTTTCATTAACCAAGACCTACCTTGGTCATAACAGCAAACTAATACTTGGTGGGTCTTGTTGAAACTACTGTAAGTACATATTGCTTGGAATGGTTTTTTTGAGTGTGGATCAATAAACCTTCTGACAGATATTCCATGCCAGATTGAGATTTTTTTTAGTGATTCTATTTCTCGTTGTAAAGACCTGGCAGAGGACAGCTTGAAAAGATCCCTGCTGCATCATGGATGAGGTCACACTGACCAGACTGATACTTTATTAAACTTAAAGCCATTACTTTTTATGATTTAGAAGTTTAATTTATTGTTAGGTTTAAAATTTTGTCTTAATATCTTATATTCTTATTGTTTTATTGTTATTAAATTTTCTATGCTGTATATTAAGTGGTTTTCTTTGCAAGTCCTTCGAATAATAATTTTAACATTATACAGTATTATATTATAATATATTTAACATTATCATAATGTAGATCCATTACATATCTACAGTATTTGTTTACACAGAACAGGATACTGAAGTTACCTTGCATATATTACTGGTAATGTAACTTGATCAGTAGTTGACATACTGTACTTGTGCCTACTGTAGGTGCACAAGCATCATATTAAAGGCAAAATTTATATTTAAGAAAGGCTTTCTGTATTGAATAGATGACACACACACAGTCATCAATAACAATTGACAGTAACGATCCTTAGTAACATTAATTATTACTTTGCAGCTCATTGGAGAAGCCATTAAGTATGGAGACTGTCACAGACAAACAATGGATATGGCTACCTACTGGCTGACAGAGAAGCAGCTTGTTCATAAATTATTTAAAGTAAGTTGTTGTATAAAATACTTAGCAATTTGTATGTTAAGGATATTGTGTAGTGGCTAGTGAGAGGAAAATGGGTTGTTGGATTGATATTTGTGGGTGGGTGGATAGTCGAGTAATATTTGTATGAGGCTGGGTGGGTGGTGAATGAATGCTTGTGTTAATGGTGAATAGACTGAATTTTATTTGAATTTTATTTGCAAACTTTACATGTTATTTTATTACAACATTGCTGAGTATTAATAATATGGTTATATCGATAAAGTGGATAATTAAAATAAATTTGTTCTAGTTTATTTGTACAGTACTACTGTATATAGTATTAAAAGTAAGTATTTAATCCATGTAACTGAGGATAGGAGGCCTACACTTATGGTTATCAAGGCTCCCCTTCTCCCTTCCCTAGGTCAACTACTGATCTTCCCTAGGATCAGTAAGTTGAGGACATAGACTATTACATATACTACAGGAATCCTCATGTCATTTGATGCTTCCTTGGGTATTATAAGTATCCCTCATCATAGATAGGATGCCTGTTCAGTTTGGCACGAGGACATAAGGATACACATGTGTTTACTGTTTAAAAAACAGTAATGCCATTAACACCAATTTTCATATTTACACAAATGTAAAATCTTGAGCTTACATCTTAGTGTTATCCATTATGGTTATACTTACACCAAAGATTTTTTTCTGTGTTCAGTACCAGTACTGTACTTGAGAACTTGTGTGTTAAAAAGCCTCAGTTTCCCATACAGTTGAGTCCTGCAATTGTTAAAAAAAGCCTCTAAAACTTCCTGTGCATCCCAGGTTTTAAACTTAGAAAAGTTTTTCATATTTGTCCAATCCATGTGATGTTGGAGCTTGCTTAAGACTCTTTATCTCTATCCTAATGTTTTTCTTTTCAAGAATAAGATTACTGTACTATTGTTCTTTCTGTAGGGGTATCATCATCATCAAAGCTTAGCATTTGCACTCTAGAGCACATTTTCTCTGGTCTTTTTTTCATGGCATTATCTGGTTACTGTATATCAAAGGCATTTGACTTCCAACAAACTGATTTTTCTAAATCCTAGGTTCATGCTCTAATGCATACATCCTCATTTTTTTTATTGGTTTGGTAAAATGAGACAGGCTCAGATATATGCAACGGCTTATGATGTAAAGAAATTTTCCACCTTTGAAGGTGGAAAATAGGTAATAGGAAAATTTGGATAGGTGGTTATTTATACTTTAGGTCTGGTTGGGTAGAGAATGGACATATTTGCATGAAACTGGATATTTTGTGTGTGTATGAAGGAATGGTGCTGTAGAGGAACATTATATATAATTTTAGGCAAAGTAAAGATGTGTAGTGCCACTGCCAGTTTACTGTAAATGGGATATGCTGCAGTAATATAATTTTTAAGAATTTCTAATTGTAAGTATATTTTCAGGTTTTAGTTCCACGCTACAAGGATTCGAAAGATTCCTACACACGTATGCACAAAGCTCCAAACTTGTATCCAGGCAGCTTTTATGAACGGTGTGTTCTGGAATTAAGAGGTATGTATTTAATTCCTTACTGTAAATAAGCAGATATCAATAGTAGGTACAAAATCTGAGAGTAGCACTTTCTTTACTGTACTCCTTATTGTTAATAAGAGTTGAGGTCAAAGCAAAAAATTAGTATAATAGGGATTACCTCAATCAGTTGGATGAATTGATTTAACTGTTTAGGCTCACATTGATGGGTGAAAATTTCAACTACAAGACTTGTTAGGTGCTCCATCTAACTTTAGAGGTGGCAACTTGGCCATTACATGTCCAGGCTCCTCTTTTTACCATGCTTAAAGGTTTCATTTTGCTTTGCAGAAGTGCTTAAGGGAACCCAAGTCATGTACTCTTATGAGGAACAATAAATAACATTGAATTTTCTTGAAACTTTACTGAAAACATGTAAACTATAGGAGGACCTGCCAGTTTAAGTTTCACCATTGTAATCTGATTAGAAATGTTAAAATTCAGAAAAAATTGCATTTCCAAAATTTTTTGTCATAGATTATGTGCCTGCTTTGAAATTTCTTTAATTTAGGTGGCATACTAGTCTAAAGTAACTTTGAACTTTTTGAATACTTCAGACTGTGCTGAATATTCTAAAAGGCTTGATGCTTTTTTTTTATATATATCTTGTTCCTGTTCTCAGCAGGTAAGGTATTGTCTAATAGAAAAATTTAAATGTACAGTATTTTTTGTTTTTTCCATTTTACTCCAGGTAACCCATTTCCTCCACTTCAACAAAAGGTCTCGTCACGAAACTGGGTGCACAACATTCTCCTGGAAGAAGCATATAGAGAATACAAGACACAAAAGAAAACTATGCAAGAAAATGAAACTAGTAATTGAATGAATTTAACAAAATTCACACTTTACTGTAAATGTTTTCAGAGTAAAGGCAGTTTGAACAAACTTAGGAATTTTTACACAATTTGATAATGGTGCAAGATGGACTGAAGTGGAAACATTTTCCATTTTCTGATGTTTGGTTTGATCATCATATCTTCAGCCACATCACTGTGACTCATCGTCTGCAAGCTTAGGCATACTGTATATATATTTGACTTTTGGATGTTATGAAAATTGGGCATTAAAGTTAACAACTGTTCAAATCTTCATAATTATTAAGTTTGTTTTTAATGGTATCTAAAGTTGGAAACCCAGTAATAAAAAACACTGAATATAAAAGGATGTAATATTACTGTTGGTTTATTACGAATAATTATACGGCAGTGACTTCATCTCCCCTTCTTGCGCTTCCTTCTCTCTTCTTTCCTTCTCCCTGGTCTTCTTTTTTTCCTTTTTTATTCACTTCTCACCTCATTGTTCACTTTCAATGTAGAGAACTTGCTATTATCTGATGGATTGATAAGTCATCACCAAGAGCTGACTCGTATTGTAATATGCTGTATCCTCTTTCAGAAGTAAACAAAACTGTATGGTACGCGTTTCCTTACCCTTAAGCCGCTAGCCCTATATTATGTTTGCATGGATAAAAAAAGTAGCCGCAATACTACAGAGTCAAAAACAATATCACTGAACCTTAGGTTCATACCTCCCCAAGATGGCAGAGGAGATGCTACAGGTTGGACTTCACGCATACAAACGCCTCATTCCTCAGCTACTATTGACCACAGCAAGGGTTTAGAAATGTGAATTGACAGCTTTAATGATGTTACAGTAGCATTGAGAAACAAAACATCCATCTGAAGGTTATGATGCCAAACCCTAAGCATGGCCATGTGAGAACACAAAGCACAGCCAAAAAAAGTGTTATAACCAGCTGAATGCCATGCCACATGCCCAAGAAAATGACTAGAAAAGGCTAGAGCATCTGATAATTGTAACACTGGTACAGTACAACCTTTCCTGAACCACTCAAAGGAACCAAGTGACAGCCACAGAGACTGACAATTAAAAGATCCACTTTCCTGCTGGTGACTTGCTGAAGCACGGTTGATGAAAATAAGTGTTGAACCGCCACAAATAAAAAAAAACACTTCTATTAACTTACTATGGAAGTCACATGAATTTTTAAGAATGGAAAAACAGTACTTGGCTTCGCACCAATGTTGTGAGCATTCGTAAAAATATTTTTTAATGCTTTAAAACATTTCTACAAAAGTCCAGAACTGAGATGGTTCTTATTTTCCCTACTTCAAAAACTGAACTATTTAACTTTGCAGCAGCCATACAGTACTGTAGTGTGAAAGTCTGTGCAAAAAGGGTCACCACCTTGCCATCCTGTGGCATTTGGAGGCACATCTTTAGAGGACCTTGTGACGAACAGCTCAAATGCGAAGAGCACATATCCCCCTCCCAGAGGAACAGGCCTTCCAACTTGGGTGGAAAAACTCCTGGGTGGTGCAGATGGAAACAAGGACCCCTCCTTGCCTATCAGTTTTTATATCATTGTTTTAATGATTTGCAAATCATTCAGCTTGATGCCTTCTTTTGATAATTACTTGCAAATCATTCTTTCCCTCTTTTGCTAGGTATCTTATTATGAGGTTTCTATTTTTTTCTATCCAAAGCTTATGAATCTCTCCCCGAAGCTTCCAAGTCCCCATCAACTCTGCCTGAATAACGTAAATTCTATTTAGGGATGCTTAGAATTAAGATAAGGTACAAGTTCTTGAAAAATGTAAGAACTCTTGTATAGATAAATAAATAAATGAAAAACCCTATACAGTTCACAAAGCATCGGTAACAAAAGCATACTTTTTTCCATTGCCAGGGATTCGAAACCTGTTTATAAGCTTATTGAGATCTTCTTCAGGTAACTATACTGACTTCCCCAAGAATGCAACTTACAATTAAATAAAAAAAAAATCAAATGTTTAATCAGGTAAAGTACATACATATAAGGTGAGATACAAACATTGATGGATTTATAGATAAGAGCTAGTACATACAGAGCCTAAAGCCACTATTACGCAGTGTTTCAGGCAGGAAAAACACTTAGACTAAAACTTAATACTAATTGAGATTAAAATATAAATTGTGTTGAAAAAAATAAAAAATAAAAAAAGGAAGGGGGAACATGGCAGAAAATAGCAAATATACAATTTGGTCAACAAACAGCATTGTTTAAAATAGTAAGACATGGGTTAACATATGGGGGTAAGGTAGGTTACATGGAGTTAATTAGGTAGGACTTGGTTTTTATCTTAAACTGGCTGGGAGAGATACAGTCTTTGGCATGATTGGGAAGGTCATTCAACATTCTGGTTCCCTTGATTTGTAGAGCATTTCTAGTTTGATTAAGTCGTACTCTTGGAATATCAAAAAGGTATTTGTTTCTGGTTACTGCACAATGTGCAGTAGCTTAATAATAGAATAATTTAATAAAAAATAGCAACTAAATTAATCTTAGAGTAAAGGATTTAAAACCAATTATATTTGTTTAATTTTTAGTAAAAGCATATTGCCTACATATATTAATAATTTTAATAAAAGCTGAATATTATATATAGTTTTGTGTGCTATAGCCATTTCACAAACTTAAAAAAACTGTATTTCATATTTTCCAATCGTATATATTACACAAACTTCACAACACCAGTATATTGAAAAGCATTTTAGTGTATATCATGCATTACAATATATAATATACTGTACTGGTAAAATGCATAAAGTAACCTAAGCTGTTCCTGTGGTGCAGTGGTAAAATACTCGCCCAGCAATCTATCCTCAGACCAAGTCCATTCCATCCAGGGGTCGACCCCAAAGACGCATTCATAAATTTTAACAAGCTGTTCATTTAAAACCGGAATTTTCTCAAATACATTGTAATATTATTATATATTAGCATAATGTGCATATTTAGACAGTGGTTTGTTGGAGATTATTTGTATTTGTAGTACGTGGGTGAAGCATTTACAGCGTTGTGGTTCGAACAAAAGTCGTAAGCGAAGCACTTGTTCCGGAAGTGTTCGGATATCCTGACAGCTTAGTGGACAGCGCTCGGGATTCCTAGTCCTGAGGTTCCGGGTTCAATCCTCAGTGGAGACGGAAACAAATGGGTAGAGTTTCTTTCACCCTTATGCTCCTGTTCACCTAGCAGCAAATAGATACCTTGGAGTTGGACAGCTGCTACGGGCTGCTTCCTGGGGGTGTGTAACAAAAAGGAGGCCTGGTCGAGTACCGGGCCGCGAGGACGCTAAGCCCCGAAATCATCTCAAGATAACGTCATCAATTGAGTTGTGTGTAATGCATGGAATGGATTTTGACCTTTGTTCATGAGGACGGGCTGGACCTCGCGCTTTGCAAGTGCTTTGGCCTGGGTTCGTATCCTGCCCGAGAAGGATTGACTGGGCGCCAATCCTTAACTGTAGCCTCTGTTCCCCCAGCTGTGAATGGGTACCTGGTTGTTAAACGATTTGTGGGGGGTCGTATTCCAGGGAAAATTAGGATTAAGGACCTATGTCAAACGTTATGCGTGCTAGTGGCTTTACAAGAATGTAAGCACTTTTGTACATATAAATTATAGCAAGACAATTGTGGCGTATAAGTGACGTGAAGCACGTCTTGGTAAGGGTTTGAGAATGTAATGTAATAAAAGAAGGTAATGTAAGGTTGCCGGATTTGGCTATACGTAGCCCAATTGGTCTCCTTATAGCCCAATTGGTCTCCTTATAGAACAATGAAAAAGCCACGTATGTCTATCGTTATTTGTAATTTTTGGGGTTACTTCTAAATTAAACTGGGCTATGTACTCTGAAAAGCGTATCAGTCGCTAAAAAGCCTATTCGGCTACTTTTATTATAAATTCGCGACTTTTAGATCTTAAGTCCTGTCCTACTTTTAGATCTTGACTGCCCGAAACGCTGCGCGTACTAGTGGCTTTACAAGAATGTAATTACTATGCTATGTATCCTCACAATCCCAATGTACCTAATTGTATATATATAAATAAATATATATAAAAATAAATATATATATATAAATAAATATATATATATAAATAAAGTCCGCTACTTTCTGGTGCATAATAAAGAGAGAAATTGAATACTTTCAGCGAATACGAATTTGGCAACCGTGTTGTTTACACTTTCCAGCCACAGACGCCACTGGTGTTGTAAGTGTAATGCTAAGTGATAGGACCTTAGGGTATAGGTACTTGTGAAGGAGGAAATGTATATGTTTATCTCTCAGAATGTTTGGTAATATGTTTATTGCTTGTGATGTGTGTCTATGTATGTATTAACACGATGTACTGAACGGGGGTGAGAATAGCTTGAGCTACCTCATCCCTTTGTGTGTATTTTACCTCAATAAACTTATTTCAATTTCAATAGAGTATAGGGCTTGTTGGCTTGAGACTCTCCCGTGTAGTGTGAGTAGCGTGTGTGTTAAGGTGAGCACTAAACGAGGGTGATGGTACAATATCCTTTGTGTGTGTGTAGGGCACATTATGGGGGGAGCTTCGTGAGATTAAACCCTTAGAGCTGATGGTCTCTTGATGACAGGCAGGACCAGAAGCTTTGCCACTTGCACAGATCACTATGATAGAGGCTGGACTAAACAGGTGTACAGCAGTCTATATCATACTTGTGTATTCTGGCATACAGCACACTTGCAATGTGCAACAGTTAACGTACAGCAGCTGCCAAAATTTTCCTGTATAATAATAATAAACAAGCTGACTAACTCCTTGGTACCAATTTTCTGCTAGGTGAATAGATACATGAGGTGATACATGGCCATCCATTTCTGTCCCCACCCATGATTTGGATCCGGAAGTCTCGATTGAGAGTTGAAAACGAACCCTACTATACTACCGTGACCCTAAATCATTGCTGTTCTTGAAATACCAAACATTTATTTATGTACAAAAAGGTGCAGTAGATGTGAAAATATAGATTTTTTAGTTATTAAATGGTCTATTTTTGTAAAGCAACTAACATGCATAGTGTTTTACTACATAACTCAACCTAACCTAAGCCATCATATGCTAATTTCAATTAACCCAGCATAAGCTAACCCATTATAACCTAATCTAAGCAAACCTAACCCACCAGGAGTCTTACAATAACTCCACGTTATGATAAGTCTTATCATAAGTTATGATAGTCTTATCATAAGTTATCATAAGTGGAGTCAGCTAACATAACTCATTGTAACCTTTCATAACTTAACCTACCTAAACTAATGGAAAATTATAGATAACATTGTTTTATATATAGTGTGCAAGGTGTGTGATATTATAGAATTATTTCTGAGCTGGTTTTTGGATACCTTTGATGATATGATGGCTTAAAATTAACCTTGAGAGAGGTTCTAGGGCCCAAGCTACTCTTGGCTGCTATTGTCTGCCCATCATTGGCAAGTGGAACATATCGGAGGAAACACTGCAGTTCACAGGAATTATAATTAGTATTTACTACTACTGAGAACAGTTGAAACATACCCAAATGAGTGCCAAGCAATTTGAATACAGTCTCCTCTCCATGGGACACTAAACTTTACATACAGTAATATGCTACCTGAAGTTTGAGGATTGAAACGACATATTTGTTAACAAGAATCCAAATTACTATGCATTCATAATGCATGCATGAGGCTGCATCCATAATGCATGGCATGCCACAAGTCTTTGTTCACTTCCAGTTGGACTGGTCACCACAATGATGGCCTCACTTCTAGTAGGTCGGCATTGATCCCTGATGACCCAAATGGTTGGCCACCATTCCTTCATTCATCCTCCCATGGGTAGGGGGGGGGGTGCATGTGTGCATTGTGTATTTGATGATAAGTATTGGAGAACTACTGGACCATTAGCCAGAGTGCATGGGGGCAATGTTTAATACCCTGATTGGGCTTCAGTTGTATGCCTCAGAAATCTTCGAGGATTCAGTGGAATCCCAGGTAGCATTGCTTTTGACCATATCGTGTCATGGTGTTTTAGGGCACTAGCTTGGGAGTAGCAAATGAGCAGATTCAAATCATCTTTATTGATTTTCTCATTGATACATAACGTTAATGTGATTTCGTTGTGTATTATTATTATTAATACTGTACAGGTATTATTATTTAAATGATTCTCAAAATTAGTGGTGTAAAGACAGTTTCTCCATGCTTATTAGTTCCATTGAATGTATTGCCATTGCTATCTTTCCTAAAGATGTGAGTGTGCCTCTGCTCAGCACATTACATTACTGTTTTTGAGCAAAAGGTAGCTACATGAAATTCCTGGATATTGATTTAGATTGCAAATGAATGTTAAGTCTACCTCAATTACATAGTTATAGAAGTTTAATAAAACACCAATCATGGAACCACATAAAGACAAATAAAATCTAAATCAGAAATTCACAGTAACAGACATGTATGCTACTTCAGCAATAAAATAATGCAAGAAGTCATTTGGGAGTGAAGTGGTTCTTGAAGATTACAATGAGTAATTGGAAAATGTTTAGAATTGGTCATGAAATTGTGATTATCTGGGTATTTGCCATGTCAGACTGCTCAATGAAGAACTAGAAGACTATATATAATAAACAAATAAGGTACAGTGAGCCTTTAGTGCGTAGAAATGGAAAATTCCATGCAATAGCTTTTGTGTTTGCCCAGACAATCGTGTCAAAATAAAAAAATTAGTACTGTACTGTACTGTGTAGATACATATAGCACATGAACATAGGCTACAGTATATACTACTCATTGGCTGCATTCATGTAACAATGTGTGTATATTTTTCTGAATATACTGTACTGTACTTCACTGTATGCTGTAACTGATTAAAGAATATTAATATTGTATGTGGATGGATAGCTTTGTATGTGCTGGAGGTTAAATGTTTTCTTACACGTGTTATTCTGTTGCAGCAAGCAAGAACAATGGCTGATGACTGGAAGTCCTGGAACTTCCGCCAGAGGGTTGTTGCTCAGTTGGAAGATCTTATTCGACAAACTCCACCGGGTAACCACAGAAATGCTCATGACTTGGAACTCCAGGTAACAACATAGTTTTAATTATCAGGATTTGTGCTTTTTTCTCTTTGATTTTAAATTACAGTTTTAATTGTGTTGGCTCCCATGCCTATCATGCCTACAGGCAACCCTCGATTTGAGTAGTACTGTATTGGATTACATAGATTTGAAGTTACAGTATGTGGATAGCACTTCTGTGCTTATCAGTAGTTTATTGTATCATATTATATATATATATCAAGTTTACAGTATAGTCAACAGTAATCAAACCAGAACAATTAGGAGCACCAATGCCACATGACATAGTGACCTTGCAGTACCATTTTAGACACTTGGGAGCCTTTGGAGACAGTTAATCCAGCCAGGGCCAGATGCTTGGAAATGGTCTGCTCATAACCCCAAGCTATCAGTCCCAGTAATGTCACTTTCCAAAAGGTCCCGAATTTGATATCCATGCAGGATGGAGATGTTTGTGCAAGTTTACCTAGCAGTAAATAGGTAGTGGGGGTAGTGAGGCAACGGATGTGGGCTGCATCCTGGGAAAGGGTAGCCATTGGCTTAAGGGAGTCTCAATAAGCATGACAGGCTTTGTGTCCCAGAACAAGAACCCGGCAATGTGATGTTATAGTGGCCAGAATACGCCTGGGATATAGACGTATCTGGCAGCTTTCTCAAAACCCAAATGTCGAGTACACAATGTGTCAACTTTGTGAAAGAGAAAACATGCACTCTCTTGAACATTATATTGTAGAATGTCCCATACTGACTGACTTTCGCCCTCCTGGGCTAAGGTATGCTGAACTCTGTAATTACTATATGAGTACTGGAACACTTGATGATATATTGGACTTGTATCCAAGATTGACCATGTAATATATCATTTATTCAATGTATATATATGATATAACTATATAACCTGAGCTTGTAAAAGCACCTTCATCACCTTCAGTGATTAAGTGCTTAATTGCACACTAGTTTCTTTATCAGCTATCTCACCCTGTCAGAGTAAATGAGACAGATGTATGTGAATGCATGTGTGTGTATATATGTATGTATATATGTGTGTGTATGTATATGTATGGGTATAAAGTATATATGGAAGCTGATCAGAATTACATTTCACCTTTGTGAATGTACATTAATGACACTATGTAAAAGACACATCTAACACTTTATGTAGGGCATACGTAAATCTGTGTATCTATGTATTTGCGTATGTAGGTTAGCTTAGCATTTTAAAAGCACCGAATCACCTTCTGTGGTTGAGTGTTCAATAAACCCTTGAACTATATGTTTAACATTTCTCTAACCCTGTCCATGGAGGACAGAAGAAAATGTATATATGCTGGTTAGCATTGTAAATGTGTGGCCACATCTGTGGTAGAAAATAATAATAATAAAAAACAAAAAAAAAAAAAAAAAAAAAAATGGGAAATCACTAACTTGGGTCAAGCACCTGCTTTGCTTGACAATCATCAGATGATAACACAGCTCATGCATGGCTCACCCTTAACAAATCTTCACTTTCATCTTGATTCCTTTACCAACATCACAGTTAGCCACAGAAAAGACTATGAATTTGATCTTTCCCCAAGTTATTTGGAAGCAGAAACCATCAAATGTTTATATCCTGGATGGTTATAAACCTGGATGTGGTTTTGGGAGTTGTTCTACTCCTCAAGCCAGGCCCGAGGCCAGGTTTGACTTGAGAGCTTGGTCCAAAAGGCTGTTGCTTGGAGTGGCCTGTAGGTTCACATATCTACCACAGCCCAGTTGGTCTAGTACTACTTGAAGAAAACTGTCTAATTTTCTCTTGAAGACGTCCATGTTTGTTCCGGCAATACAGTATTTCTTATGCTCGCGTAAAAAGTGTGGGAAAAGATTGTCGTTTCTTTCACAGGTTAAAAGGGATTAAATCTTTAGTGATCCTTGATTTGTATTTAGCTTCGTATTAAGTACTTTGCTTCCCATTCTTCTTAGGTGGAACCAGAGGGATCGCCTAGCCCAAATCTTGTGCACTTGGCGATTGCCAATGAGGTAGAATAGGAAGCTTATTTGCTTGTTTTTTAGGTTGGTCATGATCAGTCTAGTCCAGTTAGGTTGGTCAAAAGGTGTTTGCCGTGACCTGCTGCATGGGTGACAGCTTCTCCCCTGTATCAACATACCCTGGCTTTGCGCCCTGGAGAGCCCACTCCAGACCGACAACCAGAGCGCAACTCCGTAGTCTCCTGAGACTGATGGATGCTTACCGTTCATAATCAGTCTAGTCTCTAATTTTAATTTTACCAGCAATGATCAGGTTCATCAACAAAGATGTGCTGATCTTTTGAAATCTGCTTAGCTGCATAAGAACAATGTGCAGAGCAACAAGTGGTACTATACCCAGCTTTGAGAACCTTGTTAGGTAGAGGACAATCATAATTCATAATTGTTCAGGATAGATGTAGAGCATTCAGTTATTTGTCTAGAAGGGGCAACCCTTGAGCTGCCCCCCCACCCACTACAGGTCCCTAATGCTCCCTCTTCCCCCCTTCCCCACATTAATCATTTCCTGCAGACTTGCAGCAAACAACTATTTAGAAGCCTGAACCAAATTAGGAATGAAAGCCAACTGAACTGGCTGAGTGTGGGGACAGGCTGGATTCTGTTGTTTGCAGCATAAACCACCTGATACTGGCCCTAGTGTCTTAAAATATTACTTTTGTAAATCTCCTTGTAAGACAAATGGGTGATCAGGAACCACACCACCTACAATATAGAGGGCCTGCAAAGGCTTATACCTGCTGCAAAAACAAGTCTTCCAAAACAGCCTAGTTTTCCTTAACCCTTCAGCTATGTGACACAGCTTGGGATGTTCTCGATAATTGTTAATTCTTGGTGGAGAGGGTTTGTATAAATTGTTAAAGGGATGGGATAGTGGTACTGTGCCAGAGGGATGAAATACAGTTGTGGTTAACCCCTTAACTGCGCCAGCCAACAGAAGTTGTTCTGAGTTTTTTTTTTTAATTATGCTATATTTTAATGTTTTTTTAATGTTTTCATCACTCTTTGTGTTTTGAAATGAAAATAGTTGAGTTCGGAAACATTTTGACATTAACTTTACCTGAATATTTATAAAAACAACAAAAATATGTCCTCAACAATTGCACTATGAAGGTTTTGCCAAAAACAGGTGTGCAGTGCAGGGGTTAAACCACTGTATACAAATAAAGAACAACTTGAAACTTTCAGAAGCATTAGTTTACTAAGTGTAGTGGGAGAATATTGGAAAATATTGAGAACTTGGGCAGTGATGAACAACATTGGTTCTGTGGTAGAGCAATGTGTGTGTAGATCGGACTTTTGCATTGGCTGCTTGTAGAGAAGGAATGTGTGAAAGATTACAAGATGTATGTGATCTTTATGCACTTAGTAAATATTGACTAAGATAATAGAGAAGGCCTCTGGAGTGTGAAGTGCAAGTATGGAGTTGTCAGAGTTCAGTTAAATGCTATGAAACATTTTTGTGCAGGAAGTAATGCATGTGTAATAAGGGAAATCATGTAATAAGTGAATGGAAATTATTGTAGTTATATAGTTCAATAAAATAATTTTGGTTTATCATTAATTGCTCTTGCTTCTAACTCATCCCACCAAGAATTTACTATACTTCATACTTTATGATGCACTAGTTTCTAAATACAGTATAATGTTTGGATATAGATATTCTGTTGATTATTTACACAGATTAATTTTTTGTTATTTGAAGTGAAAATAATAAAAGAATATCTTTTGCAGGTGTTCCAGCGGGCGACTAAGAAAGATGAATATCTCCAATACATAGGACGTATTGCAATGCACATGCGGGAGATGATTCAGAACAGTAACCCACAAAGTAATAACCCACATCTTGCAGAAGTCCTAACACGTCACCCAGGGTCTGTTCCAATGTCTGGTCCAGGTGGTCAAATGGCAGGGCCAGGAGGACAAGTTGTATCTGGCCCAAACACCACCACTTTAATGGCTGGCCAGCCGGTGAATATGCAGGGTGCCCCAAGAATTGGACAACCTATGCCACCTAACATGCCTAACCAGGCTGCAGATATGGCTAATTGGACAACTAATAATCGACCACGATTAAATGAGATGCAAATGCCCGGTGTAAATAAAAAACAGACAGTGATGACAATGAATCAGATTTCTCAGTCAGGGAAAATGAGTCAAATACAAATGACTATTGGTGGTCAGAGTGGCAGTACAACTCAAATTGGACCAGTTCCAGGCCAGATAATTAGTGGTGTAGGTCGCGGCGCAGGTACTATGCAGCCACGTGTTCCCTCTCCTGGATTTCCACGTCAAGGGACACCCACACCTACAAGTGCCTCACCAGCACCACCTTTATCTGCTCCAAATAGCCAACCATCGCCTGCATTTGTATCTCCATCACCATCATCTAGCATGGTGCCCTCACCTGCTGGTGCAAGTAACAGTGGAGGCATGGGTAGAGGTACAAGTCACATGGGAGCTCCTTCTCCAGGCGGAATGATTAACACTCCTGGACAATCTCAGCAGCCATCTCCTGCTGCTCAGTCGATATCCAATAGCCAGGTAGAAGATGCTGCTTATAGGGAAAAAGTTCGCCAGCTCAGTAAATATGTTGTTCCTTTACGTCGCATGATTCAAAGAATTGGAAATGAAGATGCAGAAAAGTCAAAGAAAATGAAACAGCTTCATGACATGCTGCAGAATCCTACGCGGCGAATGCCAATGGAAACATTATTGAAATGTGAAATAGTTTTAGAGAAATTAGAAATTCATCGAGATGCTGAGACTGAAGCTCCTGTCCCACCAAACATGGAAACCTGCATTGCAAACATGGAAGAAACTCTAAACACAGTTTTAAAGTCACCTTGTGCTGCTCATACATTGCACCGGACAATATCTCCTGCCTTATCAGTGTTGTTGGGTCCAACTTATGTTACTCAACCAGCAAAGCATTCTAAACGAGACAACCCTCTCCAACCTCCACCGGAGACACCAAACATCAGTGATATTGTCCAAGGGGAAGTAGCTCGTCTTAATGCTCGATTTAGAGTCAATTTAGACTGCCAGATGCCACCTGGAAGTGATGAGTTGACTCTTATTTGTCAACTTGATGATCCTAATCTCCCATGCGTTCCTCCAATAACCCTTACAGTCCCAGCCAAATATCCAGAAAAACCTCCACGATGTGACTTGTTAACTGTTGATTATGAAACTACCGATTTCTTGAGAAACATCAGAGAAAGTATGCTGGTCAGATTGCAAAATATGCCTCCTCACTGTAGCCTCACTATGCTGTTGCATAGCTGGGAGATGAGCGTGCGGCAAGCTTGTGCTCCAAAATCATGTGTGACTTCTGCAATAGCTAATGCTCTTGCAGTGAATAGTGCATTTTAGGTTCAGATCACTTTTCTATTCATAAAGATGTTACAATTTCAATTGGAAAATTGGTTTTAGTACCAGTACAGTATTAGAAATTATACAATTTGCATTTATGGTAATAATTTAACGTGAGACATGTTGTAATGCACCTGTATAAACACAAATAAAAATACAGTACAGTACTGTGTATGTTACCGTGAATTTTTAATTATTGCACTACATATTACTTTTTATTAAGATGTCTTACAGCAACAACTATGGTGCAAAAGGTGCTTAAAAATGTGGAAATATACCTCCATTGGGCAGACAATTGACTTCACACCAGTAGGTGTCTATTCCTGCAGCTACAATCCAGTCGAGGCGATGTGAGGAGGATGAGGCAGCACCAGTGGGGTGGTGTGCACACTGCTGCCTCCTTCACTACCACTGGTGAGAAAGCTCTTTATAATCATTTTACATTTTTGGATCTAATAATGATAGTATATATATTTAGAATGTTGACACCAAATTGTTTGCCATTAATTACTCATACGATTGAAGAGAATACAAAAAAATTATTTTTATGTAAAATCCAACTGACTTTGTTTAAATCGTCTCCAGTATGTTGTGTATGTGCGCATACTAATAATTGTCATAATTACATTTTTATATAGCATCGTTTGCCAATTATTTAAATATTGCATGTAACATTCTATTACTTAATCGTCATTTTGATTATTTTATATGAAAAAGATGGGTTTTCATGTATTTGTACTTGCCTAAATGTGCTTCAGGGTTATGATAATGATATTTCTCTGCACTACTCTCCTGGTAAGGTAATTATCAAACTTGAATATGCATTAGTGGATATAGGCCCTCCTAAGTTTTTTCTTTGCCTGGGATTGTCAGGGGTCTGATGGTTCAGACTGACTGACTTTACCTCATATACTGTAGTTCACTCGAGCAAGTTCATACTATATAAATGGAACAGTGTACCATTTACCCATAAAGATACGAATGACAGAGTTCTTTGAATTCTGAATGAATGTTCAACTGAAAAAGAGAGGCACAAAGTGAACATCATTCTGGATCAAGACAGTAATAAGAGTCCCAGCAAAAGCTGGAGCGGAAAAAAGAAAGGAATAACTGTGAAAGCTACCAGGACAAGTTCCAAGCATGGGCTCCTGGAGACAGACACAAAGCGGTGAGAAGTGAGATAACAGAAGTTGGGGTTCAGGAAAATTTGCAAAGAAACCACATATATTACATTGAAGAATAGACAAGGAAAGAACAGATGTTAAGATAATAAAAAAGGCAAAGGACACAAGAGACAAGGGAGGATCAGGAGATAGTGCAGTGAAAGGGGGGGGTGGCAAAGGTATATCCAGCACAGACAGGAGTTGACAAGGTATCAGAAAGGAGCAGAAGCACAGAGGAAGGAGGTGCTTGGAAGGGTGATCAAGGGAGGTGGGTGTACAATACCAGAAATGGAAGGGCGCACTTCGTCAGGAACAGTACCAGAGGCAGAATCAAAAGCTACAAGAATGTCCATAAGTAGATCACCCGACTCTCGGTGGGAAGGAAGGTTGGAAATGACGGACAGAGATCGGAGAGGAGCTGGAGAAGGTGTTGGGGTTTGAGGTTTGCAAACAGTTGGAAAATGAAGTAAGAAAAGAAGGATGGGGAAGAGTAGTGCGACAATGCATGTGCAGAGGTAATGGTGAAGAAAAAGTCAAGACAGTGTTCCTGGTGCCGAGCTTCAGGGAAAGAAATAGGATAACGATGCTTCAAGGTGACGATGGCCTATTGAAACTTATAGTGGACGCATGTATGAGAAAGGGCAGGGTGTTCCTGCAGTGAGCTTGGAATGAAGAGCAATGTGTATGAGAATGTCCAGGGCCATCACACAAGGAGCAAAGGGACATCCCGCTGTTGCACCCGGAAGAACCATGACCACATTTTTAACACCTTTTGCAGAGTTAAAAAGAAGGGATGTACAGTACTCCTGATCGGACCATGGGATACTGGTAAGGATGATGGAAAACGGAAAGAACCTACCATTAATAGTGATCATAACAATATGAAGGGGCTGATGAAGATGACCACGAGTGGTCAACATCATCATCGTCAGTCTCATGGTTTTTCAAGATATGGAGTAGGGTGTTGATTCTAATAGTGGAGCCAATGGATCTCCAACTCTACTGTTAAGTCATGTGGCTGGTCCTACGGGCTGCCGCACTAGCCTTCCGAAACAAAATACTGTACAGTATGGTACTTCTGACTCAAAGTATTAATATCACACACAACTATCATTCTTTTACACCATAGGTACGCACTGCCTCGAACAGGGTGGAGCATACTTTTGACCAGCACTGTATATAAATGGAGGACTAGCAGATGAAAAGATCAGTATAGAAAGGGTGTGAGTGTGTAGGTCAACACGAGTTGGCTCGCTGGAATTCAGGATAGACAATGGAGATGAGAGATCGAGAGGTTCCAGAAGAATGCCTCGGGAATTCATCAGATCATCACTCTAGATGGCATGCCAACAGTTAAAATCACATAAATAAAATCACAGACTGTCTCCATTCCAATTGTTTCTATTATAGAACATTTATTCTCATCTGTAAATGCTTCATCAGTGCCTGTGCTTTTCCCCATTTCAGCATCCTCACTGATATGCATACCTCTTCTGCAGATATATCAGCTGACATACAGTACTGTCTTACCTTGAGGTTACCTTGAGGTGCTTCCGGGGCTTAGCGTCCCCGCGGCCCGGTCGTCGACAAGGCCTCCTGGTTGCCGGACTGATCAACCAGATCTTGCATTAATTTTCATACTATTTCCTTCAGTCATGTTCACATTGATACCCCTTTCATACATTCTGTTCATTAGGCTTTCAGAGTTATTTTCTCCACCTACTAATATAGTCTCTTCTTCAGTTGCATGCCTTGTTTGTGTCATGTCACCTTTGTTGTTCAATATATATACTGTACATGGATGGGGATATGAGAAAGGTTACAGTAAGAATATTAGAGAAAGTTACAAACCCAGTATATAGGTGTAATGTGAGTTCAGTACAGTATATTACAAAAACTAAAGAGGGGAGAGATGGAAACAGAATTATGTGTAAAATAAATGAATGGTGAATTGGTAGAACTGGTTATTTTATATATCCCAGGTATACGGCTGACAAAGATAAATTTGTGCAATCCAAGTTAAGAACAGGGTTAGTAAAGTAAGAGAAATAACTGGTGCAACAAAAATCCTGATAAAAAATATAAGTTAGACATTTTAGATTCAGTGGTGGTACTGCTCTTATGTACAGATGGAAGACAGTGCTTAGCATAAACATGAAAATTCAAGAATTGAGCATCAGCCTAGAAATGGGCAATCTAACTGAAGTTCAGACATGCATGGGCATGTGACCTGTGCAGCCAGTCTCAAATCAGCAAATTCAATTTTAATAAATGGATGAACTGGGAACAAATAAATCAAGACCTTGCAGAAATATGCTTGGAAAGACAAATAATGCAAACTTAAACCAGTGCTCTGATAAAATAGGCACACTGTAGTAGCACTATAAATATGTGCAAGTGGCATACCTCTTGAAAAAGAAAGATGCAAACTAATGATAATGGCATTCCCTCTATAGGAGAATAAAAATCACAGAACATCTCAAATATTCCACTATCACAAAACTGGCAAAGAATGCTATGTAGGGAAATAGAAACGATTGAGCTAAAGTTGCACGAATCAAAATCCAGAAGGCCCCAAGAGAGCAAAAGCTATAAGTGAAATAAGAATTCGAAATACTTTTTGCTGTCACATATGACAGCAAACTAGCAAAATACTTGGACTATAGTACGATTTTGTTTTCAGTGAACCACTGAATTCATTGAAGATGAGATCAAAACGAATTCCTTATGAATGGCACAAACACAGAACCATATATCAGATGTCACTCTAACCCAATTGCACTTAGAAGTAGCCATAGATAGCATGCCCATGCACTCTGCTCGAGGCTCAACTCCCAGAGAATTCTGTACTCATTAAGAATTGCAAAAACTAATACAGGCCCCTAAACATCTTTTGGAGATGGAGCCTAAATACTGGTGTTATCCCTGTTGTACTTAAAACAGAGCAAATCATGGCAGTTCACAAAGGAGGAAGTAAAGGAGGTGCAAAATATGATAGACCAATAGCTCTAACATCACGCGCAAAAATCTTTGAAAAGATTGCCAAGATGTAAGATCACAAAGCACATGGAATCACAGTGCCTACATAATCCTGGACAACATGGGTTCAGGACAGGGCATCCTGCCTCTCAGAATTGCCTTAGATGCCACAGAAGACAAGCAAAATGCTAATGTAATATACATGGATTTCACAAAAGCTTTTGACAAATGTGACCATGGTGTTATTGCACACAAAACATCCACAAACTGAATTACTGGCAAAGTAGAGATGGATCTTTAATTTCCTAATAGAACCCAGAGTTTAATACTCTGGGTTCCCAGAGTATTACTCTAAACCCAGTCATCTACTGAAAGTAAAACCCAGTCATCCACTGGAAAACTGCATTCAGTGGAAGAAGCACACTTGCTCCGGTACATTTTCTTATCTGCATATCAGACACAGACAAGGATACAAACTACTGTATAGCACCGAATTATCCTTTGCAGATGACACTAGATTTTCTTTGAGAAGACAATATAGAGGTCAGAGCAAACCTCCAATCTAATGTTAATGAAGTCTTTCAATGGGCCACAAAATATATATTTAATGAGGATAAGTTTCAGTTACTGTGGTATGGAAGAAAAGAAAAGATCAAAAGAGAAACCACATAAAATGCAGTCAAGCCACACTATTCAAAGACAAAGCAATGTAAAAGTGTTAGAAGTAATCATGCCAGAAGACCTTGCTTTTAAAAAACACAATAAACAGCTGCCACAACTGTAAGAAAAATTACAAGCTGGATAAGAACCTTACAAACAAGAAATGCCATAGCATAGATGATACTTTTCAAGGCACAAATGCTCTCTAAGAGTGGAATATTGTTGCACACAAACAACATGAAACGAGAAAGCATGGCAGGATGTGCAAAATAGTCCCATTGAAAAGCAGAGGTGCAATAGGCATGCTGAGAGAGAACTAGCAACAGCAAAAGCCCAAGACTTTTCAACACTTTCCCTCTACACATATGGGGCATAACTGGCTGACCCTTCGCAATGTTCAAAAGAGAACATGATAAATACCTTCAAAGAATACCTGATAAACCAAGCTGTGATTCATACATCAGATTGCAAGCAGCCATGTCGAACAACCTGGTTGACCAGACCAGCAACCAGGAGGCCTGGTCAGTGATTGGACTACAGGAATGTTGATCCTCAAAATCATTGACAGCTATTGGATGAACATATGAATGAAAATGTTGTGTTGTGTGATATATCTGAATATCATTATGAATAATACTTTCCAACTTTTTGTGTGTGCATGTATATCATAATGTTATTTCCACTCAGTTGCTAAGACATTTACTTTTGTATTTTTCAGATATATAGGGAAATGAGTTGAGATTGGATATAGTAGCAAAGTGGTTTTTATTTCACCACAGAGTGCAAAAGTAGACAAACTGCAAGATTGAGGAGAGTGTACCAAGATGGTCTGGAAATGCTGAACAAATGATAGGCTGTTCTTTCTTTACCCCAATACTTGGAAGTTGCTTGCTCAGGATCCTCCAACTTGGAAAAGCAAAGTCACCACAGGGGCCAGTGTGGCAGAAAATAGACAGACTGCACAGGCCCAGAGGAAACTCGCCGCACGCAAAGGTAGAGCAACCTCCACCTCTGCAGTAGCACCCATCCACATATGTCCTGTGTGTGGGTGAGCCTTCTGGACCCAGATTAGTCTCATCTTCCATCATCTGACACACAGTCACCGACCTTCAACCTGATATATTGAAGTCATGGTCATCTTCGACTCCGAAGGACGAACATCACCATCATCATTATCTCCACCCTTCCTAGTCTTCTGCTATCCTTCATCTTAGTGTAATTACTCCTCCTTCTTCATCTACTCTATCCATTGTAACCTTCACCTTTAGTCCCCATTTTTCTTCTCAGCCTTTCCCTATGTCCTTTGACTTTCCCCTAAGGATTTTTGCTCCATTGCCCTGACAAGTTGCATTTGCAAACTTTTCGAACGTATGGTTAATGCCCGTCTGATGTGGTTTTAAGACCACTATTGACACCTATTCCCCTCTCCATTTGGCATTCGCAAGTGTTGTAGCACAACTGATATTTTAGTGAACTTAAAGGTCTGTATTTGTACTGTCTTTGCTGCAAAGACCTTCATTGTTGCAGTTCTTTTTTTTTTTACCTGAAAAAGGCTTTTGACACCACCTGGATATATAATATTTTATTCAAACTGTGCTCTTTTGGCCTATTCAGGAGAGGCAGGGAGACTTAAGAGGAGTCACGCGATACACACTGTCTTGAGGACCCATGCAGGAGGGAGCCCTTCGACATGCAGGGAGGGAACGTTTGGAGGGAGAGCAGTTGGGTGCAAGTTGACATTTATGGCCTCCTTCAGGGCATATAATTCTGTTTGCAATGTTGAGCACCCACAATTCATGCTCCAGTAAGCTTCATGGTTGTTAGTGTAAACTGCTGCCCCAGCAGAATCTCTTTCTTGATCAACTGATCCATCTGTGAAGATGTGAGTGTTGTCGATCTTGAGATGGTTTCCATTTGTTGTTCTATGACTGCTTTGAGCCTCTGCGAGTCACATGCTCATTTTTTCACTGGTAATCCTTCTAAAATAATAATAATAATAATATAATAATAATAATAATATAATAATAATAATTGATTTGCAAGAAAGTACAATGGATTGGTGAGATTACATAAGATTGATATTTTTACATTCATGCAAAGCCAGTAACACGCATAGTGTTTCGGGCAGGTCGTTAATCTAACATCAGGTAAGATGAAAGGGTACATTTTTATATCAACAAATAACTACAATATAAGTTGACAGAGGGGATTATACTGCAAAGGATATGTGTCTTACATGCTAATATTGGGGAAGTGGGTAGTATAAGATACAATGTGAGTTTGAAGCACAAGGTCGGAAATTATAAGGGTGAAATTAGGTACTTTCTTTATTTTACTTTTGAACAGGACATGGGTTGGACAATTTTTTAATTCATCAGGGAGTGAGTCCAAAGATTGGGCCCTTTTATTTGCATGGAGTTTTGCACAGATTTAGTGCAACTCTGGGGATATCGAAGATACAGTATATTTATGCCTTGTGTGGTGCTCATGGGTTCTATTACACCTATCAAGGAAAAGTTTCAGATTAAGATTAACATTTAGGAACAAGGTTTTGTACATGTAGATAGCACATGAGAGTGTGTGGAGTGAGTGTATGTTTAGCATGTTCAGGGACTTATAGGGGTTGTGTGTTGTCCGAAGACAGAGTTTTTTATAGTTCTGATAGCAGATCTTTGCTGAGTGATGATAGTCTTGAGGTAATCTGCAGTAATTGAATCCCATGCACAGATACTGTATGTAAGATATGGATAGATTAGTGCATAGTATAATGAGAGGAGAGTGGGGGAGAATAATATCTGATTTTAGAAAGTACCGTATACCAACAGTTTCTTAGACTTTTTTGGGTGTGTTGTATGTGGGTGCTGAAGTGACATATCTCTTGTCTATGTATAGGCCATGGAATTTCCCCACATTTTTATTGGTCATTTTAACATTGTCTATCAGAAGTTGAATCTGATTTGTTGATTTACTACCAAATAAAATGTAGAAGTTTTTTCCTATGTTTATTGTAAGTTTGTTGGTTGACATCCATGAGTGGATTTTTTTTAATTCACTGTTGGCAATATTATTTAGTGTGTGGGGGTTGGGGTCAGAATGAATAAAGGTAGTATCGTCAGCAAATAGTATAGGTTTAAGAATGTTAGAAACATTTGGCAAATCATTATGTATATAAGAAATAGGAAGGTCCTTAGATGCTGCCCTGTGGCACTCGTGCTGTCAATGGTAGAGTGGGGAAGGATATGCTATTGATGACTACATATTGATGTCTGTCACTGAGATAGGAACAAATATAGTCCAGAGCAAGGCCTCGAATACCATAGTGGTGAAGTTTAAGTAAGAGGTAGTTATTGTTTACAGTATCAAAGGCCTTTCTCAGGTCAATGCAGAGGACAATTGGGGGACTCATTTTGGTCAAGGACTGTGTAGATTATATCAAGCAGTCTAATAATGGCATCATTGGTACTTTTTTTTTTGGGGGGGGAACAGAAGCCAAATTGGCAGGGACTTAATATGTTGAGTTTTATAAAGTAGGTATAGAGCCGTTTGTAAATAATTCTTTCAAATATTTTTGAAAGTATAGGAAGATTTGATATTGGTCTGTAATTGTTTGTCAGCTGTTTCGCCTCCTTTATGAACTGGCGTCACTACATATTCCCTTTTAGACTACCTTTAGACTTTTTAGATTATCTCTAGACTCAATTTAGATTATCTTTAGACTTTATATATATATATATCCTATCCTATCCCATCCCATCCCCTTGGCCACCCTCCTACTACCATAATAGACAATAGGAAACGGCTTTGGCTAGGTTATATATTGGCCATACATGCTTAACTGATGGGCATTTAATGGAACGCTGCCCTGCTCCTTATTGTCTGAACTACATTGTCCCACTTAGTCATGCCCCTGCTTGTGGATTGTCCTGATTTTCAGGACGATCATATGTAGTGCTTTTCTAATGTCCCTCGATAAAATCCATGGTGAATCTGATACCTTTGATATTTCTCGCCTTATTGGCTTTTTGTTCTTGTATTGGCATCCTCAGTGGTATTTAGCACCTTATGAATATCTTGCGACACTGATGGTGCTACATTGTCTCCACAGCTTGTGCCTTCTTTTGATAATTGCTTACTTGAATCACTGAAAAGTTTTGTTAGTGATCACAAGAACCCGATAATATTGCAAGTAGTTTACAACTACCTAATGATATTATCGCTACATGTTTATGACCAACACTTGATGATATCGCTAGGCATTACGGGCACCTTGAAATTCCTTCCACTGTAAACTTGCATGAATATATTAATTTTTCCAAGCTTGCTAGTTCTGGTGTTCCTACAAGTATTACACAGTCTAGCCTTAGACTCCCCCTCATAGTATTCCAGGTACAAACATCGCAAATTGCCGTCTGTGTGTTTATATCCTGTCAACCGGTTTTCTTACCACTCTTGGCGTATTAGTCAAGTAAGCTGTACTTAAGAAACTAGCTATTTTGTTAATGATATTTTCTTTGCATTTTTATTAATCTGTGAATTACTTGGCAAGTAAGTGATACAGCAAAGATATTTTATTACTACCCCTTACTGTGTGAGCCAGGTTGGTGTTAGTGTACCGAGCTAGTTTTCTTTATCCAGGGAACCAATTTTCTTTATCCAATTGTCCCAATCTTGTTATCCAGCTAGAAAAAAATATTTGTCCAGTTATCTCATTTTCTTTAAGAAGATTGCCCATTTTCTTTAAGAAGATTGCCCATTTTCTTTATCCAGCTACTCATATTTTTCCCTCCTACGTTTCCTTCGCTCTTCTTCATTTTGTGGTATTCAGCTACAGTTACCACTAACATCTCGGGAACATAAGTAAACTTGTTTTTGTTCTCATTAAAGGATATGGCTGTGGAGACGTCTACAGCTCTCGTCGTCCTGTTCAAGAGAGGCAGACAGAAGAGGCAGATTGTGGGTTGTGTGGAATAATAATTAGTATTTATACAAGATGGTGTATTTGGCAGTGCCCGGGTCAACCGCAAAATGATGCACCATTTAAATACTGTACTAGGAGCTCCAGAATGCTAATCTGCCATAATATTAAAACTGCAGAAAGAATCAAGATAAAATGCCATTTCAGACTTCACTGGGGTCGCAAGGGGGCTGATCCCAACCCTTTATATATATATATACAGTATATATATTATATATTATATATATATATATATATATATGTGTGTGTGTGTGTGTGTGTGTGTGTGTGTGTGTGTGTGTGTGTGAAATCACGAAAATTAACACGTGATGCAAAATGTGACAATGTCAGACCACGGAGGAAGAATTGAAACTGGAATTTCCTTAAGTACTTTCGGAAGGAAGGAATTCAGAATTTCGGAAGGAGGAATACAGTGGGTGTGGATATATAGGCAGGAAAGAGGTGAAGTGAGGTACATTGAAATGTTTGCTGTATTTTGGACATGCACCTCCAAAGAGCACCTCCTATGTGTGTTTTCTGCAAACTGTAACAATGTAATAACATTGATAAAAACAAAAGAATAGGGGGTGGTAGGAGAGGAAAATACTAGTGTTCAGTGAGAATCCACAAGGTTTTCACAAGGCACTCTCTTAAAAACACTTACAACACTTAAATCACCTGCATTTGCTAAAATCCTTGCAACCTACAACACTTAAAACATGTGTAAGATTGTTAAAAATATCTGCAACTGTTCAAACACTTGCAACACTTTAATTACATGTAACGCTTGAAATCCTTGCAACACTGTATGGGAAACGAGCCTACTTAACTAGTGATAATAACAAATGTATTCTGTATTCTTAAAATGATACATGTGTTAACCCGCAGTTTATATATTTTTTTATATAGTATGTATATACTATGTATACCGAGACGGTTTTTCTACCATTTGACAAGGTGTTATTCATAAAACTTATATATTGCATATCCTCTGATATATAATACATATGTATTAACTTTGATGTAATGTATCTTCTATTATTAAACATGTATGCATTTTCTTCCACAAAATAAATAAATAAATAAATTCTAATATGTAATAATTTTCCACCATATATCGATCAGGAATAAAAATAACTTAGGTCCAAAACAAGTTAATGAGATTTTCTATGCCATAATGGACTTAAATATAATTTAATTTTAATGCGAAGCTTGAATGCTTGACGGCTCCACCTGGGGCATTGGTGAGGCCATTGTGAAAATAGGGGGGAGTCTACATCAATGCCCATTTTTTCATTAAATGTGCATTTCAAGACATTTGTTAATTTTCTGATAATGTCTTTCGTTCGAGAAACCCTTTGGGCGATTCCATTATTTGATGGGAGAGTCCTTGTCAGGGTCCATTATGTAATGGGGGAGTCCATTATATAATGCGAATTCCACGAGAGTTCATAATGATTCTTAAGTAGTATTTCCTTTAAATTAACCAATTGTGGTGTAAAGAGTCCTCATTTAAACAAATTAATCTCAATAAAGACTCCCCCGTAAAAAATGGACTCGTCAAGGACTCCCCCACTACATAATGGATTCGCCCAAAGTATTTCTTGAGCTAAGGACACAAATGGAAATCAGCCAAAAATTCTTGAAATGCGCATTTCGTTAGAAAATGCGCATTGACGTGGACTCCCCTGTGTATAATGGCCTCGCCCCGTAACAAAAACGTTGCCCCCTGATCATTCCCTTAATATCGAGATCATTGGAGCATTTTTACCCAAATTGTTGCACTAAAATGCTTCAGAGAAAGTTTAAAAAAAAAGTAGACTTATGTCAAGTCACGTTTGTTAGGAAGAGTAGAACATTTAAGTATGTACTGTGACAGGGACGAGTCAACAGCAACAATGCCAGGACTTAAAGTTCATGTTGGGTATGTTCTGTATCAGAGCAGATTTGACACGACGGCGTCTGTGAAGAATGGAGGTATGAAAGATTATTTTAGACCAATCAATAGGATGATTAGGTGCCAAAAACTCAGATTATGTGCCACAAGCTTAAAATTCAGATAGAAAAAAAAGTCCTTAGGAACATTTGTGACAGGCCGCTGGTTTCCTGTCCCTTTCAAGGCCACTAGAGATGGTGGCCCTCGGGTAAATGCGGGTAATATAGTTGGATAACAAAAAACATTACTTAAACATATATATATGTATATATTTCATAGGTAATATGCTACAGGGATATAAAGAGCACCTTCGAACAGCATTAAATAAGTTCGGTTTGCTAATCTAATGTAAACATGACGTTGAATATGTACAAACTATGTTTAATAACACACATGTAGATGTAACTTATAAATATTAATATCATTTTCTCATTAGAAAGACACAAATTCGAGTATTTAAGATATATAAATATATGTGTATAATTTTTTGTCTACATACAGTAAAAACCCAATTTTCCAGAACCCAATTTTAGCAAGATTCAAATTTTTTTGTGACAAATTTCTGTGATCTTAATTGCCCATGAAGTCTGTGATTCGATGGGAATCATATTTTATACCTAATTACAAATTTGTTTAATTGATTTTTTACATATACATTGGTCCGTTTCTAATACAACACAGTTACAGGTATTTTTTTAGCACATTTTCATTATAATAAACAATACAAAATAAATTAATTATAGCCCATGATATTTTATTAATTTATACAGATTTATGTACTGATTTGCAGCTGTATCAATTGGTCCGGATAATTGAGGTTGCTCTGCATATATTTGTATATTGTGTGTGTGTGTTTGTTTCTTTTAAAAGTGACTAGAAAAATGACTCGCAAGGTGTCGAAGGCACGATACGCCCTTTAGTCAGTAGAGTTCAATACATCTTGTCTGGAGGACTAAACGATGGGAAAGCATAGGTTGAGCTGGGGCATGGTTGAGGATGGAGAGGGGTCATAGGAGGGAGTGAGAATTGGGCAAGGGAAAAGGGGCGCTACAGGAGGCAAGGATGGGGCACTACAGAAGGCAAGGATGGGGCACTACAGAAGGCAAGGAAGGGGCACTACAGGAGGCAAAGATGGGGCACTATAGAAGGCAAGGAAGGGGCACTACAGGAAGCAAGGAAGGGGGCACTACAGGAGGCAAGGAAGGGGCATTACAAGAGGCAAGGAAGGGGCATTACAAGAGGCAAGGAAGGGGCATTACAAGAAGCAAGGAAGGGGCACTACAGGAGACAAGGAAGGGGTACTACAAGAGACAAGGAAGGGGTACTACAAGAGACAAGGAAGGGGCACTACAGGAGGCAAGGAAGGGGCACTACAGGAAGCAAAGAAGGGGGACTACAGGAGGCAAAGAAGGGGGACTACAAGAGGCAAGGAAGGGGCGCTACAGGAGGCAAGGAAGGGGCACTACAGGAGGCAAGGAAGGGGCACTACAGGAGGCAAGGAAAGGATGCACTACAGGAGGCGGGATAGCAACATCTGACCCGACAACGTATTTACCTCAACATTTAAGTATCATCTTAGGTCAAATCTGAGCAAGTTTTTTTCCCACTAGTCCTGGAGTATTTTTACCCCCTTTTATGTATATACATCAGTTCAGGAATTAACATCTGAAGTATAACGCCAGTTTGAACCGCTGACGGAGACGGCTCAGGTGTGGTTTTGTGTGGATTGCAGTATCCTTCACTTAGCCAGTGCTCACCCGACACTAAAAAAAAAAAAGACATGCATATTATCACTGAAGAAGACAGTGCATGAGAACTTCTTAAATGGTATTATAACTATCTCTAATACAGTTTCGTGTTTAATAACTACATAACTTACTGTCATACAATAATGTCAATTGGGTTGAAAATGGAAACGTTTGATGGAGCACAATAAATGTTTGGCTTGATATTTTGCAGAACAGAGTATAGTATGATAATGTAGCCTTTGTTACAACTAAGAACACTGTAGAGACTATGATAATGGTACTACACAGTGTGGAGGACTGCAAGGGTATTGGGTCAGTCACTGGAGTGATGGTCGGGCGCTGCGTCATGTTCCATCCCCCGGGCGCTGTGATCTGTTGCATCCACGAGCACCATGCACTGTGTTGTAGCATCTGGGTGCTATGCTGTGGTGCCTCCATGAGGTGCTGTGTTATGTTGCATCAACAAGCACTGTGCTGTGTCGCAGCCCAGGGTAAGGGCACTGTGCTATGCCACAGCCTTCGGGCACTGTGCTATACCACGGCCTTCGGGCACTATGCTGTGTTCCAGCCACGGGCACTGTGCAGTAGCGAAACCCCGGGTACTGTGCTGCAGCCCCGGGCACACCTGCCCTCCTCACAACACTGGCTTTCTCCAACATCACTAAATCTAATGATATGTAATCAAACATCCAACATCTTAATATTTCAAAATTTAGGTTTTACTTCGTATTATTACTCAACAATATATGCGAAACATCTATTAGGCGGATTGAAGGGGTTTGAGGTTCAGTAAAATCTTAAAATATTTTGGTAGCGGCCATTCCTGCAAAACCCGCCCTTGTCACAGCATAGCCTTTGAAATAACAATACTCTAAATGGCAGTTGACAGGATTAGTACCCATGGGCGCCTAATTACCTGTCTCTCTGCAAACACACAACATTACCACGTCCAATAACATTACCAACATTTTTTATTTTTATGTGGCTACAATATTAATAACGGTGCAACAATGTAAAACAACAACGTTGTTCCAACGTAAAAGAATAACATTGTACCAACATAAAATAGAACGTCGTGCCAACGTAAAAACCAACGTTGTAACGATCTCAAAAAAAAATGTATTGTGCCAACGAAAAAAATGCTGTTGTTACGTTGTGAGGGGGTAGCTGTCAGCTGGTTCCATCTCTTGAGCTCTCTTTCCTATTGCTTTCCCTGGTTCACAAGCCATCCCTAATGTTTATCAGTCATGACCAATAATATATAAATTTGGTGTTTGTTACTTATACTATTATCAATATTTTAATACTGCCACAATAAGAATTCTTTTAGGTGTACTGATTTTTTTATGTCGCTCATAATACTTATACATCTATCCCAGTTTTGCCTTTTTCTCCAACTTTGACACTGAGTATACCACTCTGGATGTCTTTCATCTGCTCATTCATTACAATCCGTTGATTTTTCATCTTGTTCACTTCGTCCTTCAAGTGGAGGATCATCTGTACCATTCGCTTCAAGTGCTTCTCTTGCGTCAGTAGCTTCGCTTTAATGGTCTGAATCTCTGTATCCTGACGGACAACCTTCTCTTCATACATCTGGGCCAGGAGTCGCAGCACCATCTGAAGGTGAGCATGACGTATCTTGGGTGTGTCTCCCGATAGGCCTTTGTTTGCCTGTTGAGCCTTTTGCGGATCTGGGATGGGCCCTCCACGGAGGTTTTCTCTGGCCTTGGGGTCTATAGACACGATGACACACTGATCATCTTCTTCAGATTGAGAAAAACTGGATCTTGCCCGTCGACTAGAGAGACGTGATGGAGGATTATAGATCTTAATCGAGGGCCTCTTCACCTTCTTACTGCCGTAGCATCGAGACTCAACTTCTCTGTTTAATAAGTGTTTGTTCTTTTGGTGATGTGATGGCTTAAGCAGCCGAAATATCGACGGTAAGGTTTTAGATTTCATTGCAGCAGAATCAGAGGCACGTCTAATTCCCTCACAGACCTTCTCTGGAGGCCGAAGTTTCATGGATGTGCACCTAACTTTCGGACGTCCCGGAAAGGTGCTTCGTTGTAATTCTGGAAATCTCTCCTCTTGAATACTTTGAAAGCTACGGCGGGGAAGGTCCTCACGGGAGTGAGTGTGACTACATACATCGTGGATGCCACTTTCGGTATCTTCGTCTTTCATGCCTATTAAGTCTTCCGTTACCTCAGGAATAATATGGCTATCTCTCCTATCACATACATGACTTACATGACTATCTCTCCTGTCGCCACATGTATGGCTATCTCTCCTGTCGCCACATGTATGGCTATCTCTCCTGTCGCCACAGGTATGGCTATCTCTCCTGTCGCCGCAGGTATGGCTATCTCTCCTATCGCCACAGGTATGGCTATCCCTCCTGTTTTCACAGGTATGGCTATCCCTCCTGTCGCCACCACACGTATGGCTATCTCTCCTCTCGGTGCACGTATGGCTATCTCTCCTGTCGCATACATAGCTATCTCTCCTATCACACGGCATATCGCCAATCTGCTCGCTTGTCATTTTGGTTCGTCTTGTGGCCAGTCTCCTCTTCCTCTCAGTGGCTGCTGCAGCCAGTGTATATGAGCGTGAAAGCGAGGGGCGGCGGGGTGTGCCCGTGATGGAGGGGCGCCGAGGCGTGCCCGTGAGCGAAGGGCGCCGGGGCGTGCCCGTGAGCGAAGGGCGCCGGGGCGTGCCCGTGAGCGAGGGGCGGCGGGGCGTACCAATAACGGAGGGGCGGCGAGGTGACGAGGTACCCATCAGGTTTGAGCTGTAGAGTGGGGGGATCCAGTAGACCAGATCTGTCTTGTCCTCGTTCATCATGGCAGCCATTGGCTTCCATGCCCACTCAAGCTGGAACTAACAGAGCAAAGGGTTAGTATTGGTGGATGCTTTGGAAAGAAAGAAAGAAAGCAGAAGAAATACAGACACAAATTAAATTAAGCTTTGTCTCTTCTCTGTACTGTATGCAATACAGACTAACATTGGCCTTATTCTTAACACTATTATAAGTACAGACAACACTCTTAGTTAAAGCTTCTTAAGTAGCCCAGGCACAACAGAGCACACAGAAAGTTCAGATGGTATAAGCATCTAGAACGAGTTCCAGGAGCCATGCAATAACCTGCGAATAACCAATTAACCAGTTTGGACCAAAGAGGTCAGTTTCCGAATGTGTCTCACGAAGTATCACTAATTCTCACGATTTAAGTGTATCGGTAATGAAGACATTGTCTATCAGGATAATGGTGTGACCTTGGCCAAGCACAGAAGCTAGTGGAAGAATGGTTAAGCTTAAGGTTTGTTCGTTCACAGCAATGGAGTGTCACCGCTTGTCATTGTGTTGTCCCTGTTGCTGTTCACAGCAGTGTGAAATTCAGCTTATAATGATAGCTCACAATGCCAAGTTTGATATTATCATCTGAAGAAGTAAATTCTTTGGATGTGAGAAGTTAGGGGTTGATATTTTTATAACTGTGCTTCTGAAGAAAGTACCTATTAGGCTGGATGGTTTGAGAGGCAGTTAACTCTGTTTCAAGGCAGAGGGAGTCACTGGGCAATGGATGCAAACATACATCTACGTCAAATGAGAGTTTTTACCATACCATATAGGCCTAGCTAAATATATACAAATTTCACAGTAAATAGCATTGATCTAAAGCTTTAAATTTGTCTTTTTATATGGCTTAATTTGGTCTTGCGAAAAATCTTGTTTCCAAATCTTTCAATCTAGGGTACTCTGCTTATATTTAGAAATCTAAATCAGGAGTCATTCAAGGCAATTATACAGCTTTGTTAGACCAATACTGGCATATGACCAACATTGGCACATGACCAATACTGACATATGACCAATACTGGCATATGACCAACATTGGCACATGACCAATACTGACATATGACCAATATTGGCATATGACCAACACTGGCATATGACCAATACTGGCATATAAACAACATTGACATATGACCAACACTGGCATATGACCAATACTGGCATATAAACAACATTGACATATGACCAACACTGGCATATGACCAATACTGGCATATAAACAACATTGACATATGACCAACACTGGCATATGACCAATACTGGCATATAAACAACATTGACATATGACCAACACTGGCATATGACCAATACTGGCATATAAACAACATTGACATATGACCAACACTGGCATATGACCAACACTGGCATATGACCAATACTGGCATATAAACAACATTGACATATGACCAATACTGGCATATGACCAACACTGGCATATGACCAATACTAACATGAAATCTGCAACTTGTGAACAATAAAAGCAAAATTACAAACAAAATTAAAAACAAAAGCACAGAAGTTTGCAACAAGATTAGTTGCAAACCAATTTGTAGTTAATCCCAAAGCTAAGAGGATTAAGCCATGAGGAAATGTTAAGGGAACTAGATCTCATAACTCTTAAAGAGGACAGAAGGAACAAATGGGGTATGATCATAACATACAAGATACTGAAGGGAGGTGGACAATAACAACCTCTTGAAAGAGAAAGTAATGATGCGAGGACATAAGTGGAAGTTTTAAAGCGCAACGACGAAATGTAAACAAATGCTCGTGTCTTGTACGGGGGAGTCAGCAAGTGGAATGCACTGGAAAAAAGTAGTTGTGGAAGCCACCTCCATCAACAACTTTTAAGGTCAGATTCGACAAAGAATCTAAACGTCAGAATAGTTAAGCTATAACGCAACAGTTATAAGAGCGCTGGTACTAGGCGGGGGCCATGATTGACCTCACATCCCTGTTGCCACTGATATGTAAGTGCTATACCCCAAGGTTACCACCATACATCAAGGTCATCACCTTACAAGGCAGCCGTGTTAAACACGAAGGTATCTCATCTACCTGACTTCACAAACATGTAAATGATTCAAATATACATGACACTGATTAGTGATTAAATCAAATATTGTAAACAAAATAAAACCAGATTATATGAAAAGATTTGGAGATTATGCTTTTCGCTGTCCACCTTTGCCAACATGTATAAAAAGAGCAACTGAAAGCTTAAGAAAGAAGCTAATGTGAAAACTTACAGTCATTTATTTAACTTAGAACGCTGCTACTAGTACCTACTTATTTTTTTAGGAAAGACAGAGGGCCATTCTTGGAGACCCCTCTAGCATAATTACCTCATTATACAATGATGGATCCTCCCATGCTGCCTTCCCGCCCACTCTTCACCACCCCCACCACCCCACCCACTAACTCCTCCCACCAGCCCGCCCACTGACTTCGTTCACTGTCGTGCTCACCAGATTCCATCCACTGCCCTGCCCACCAACTTCTCCCACTGTCCTGTCCTACCCACTCAATCCTCCTACTACTGCCCCATCTACCGGCTCTTCTCACTGCCTGCCTACTGACTCCTCCCTTGTCCCACTTAACTCCTTACTGCCTCTTCCCTTCCCACTTATTGATTCCTCACACCTCTAACTTATGACACCACCCACTAACTCCTCCCACTATCTTCTCCCACTGTTGCACCCACTAATTCCTTCCCATGCCCCACCCACTAACTCCTTCCATTGCCCCACCTACTAAGTCCTCCAACTGCCCTACCCCACTAAATCTTCTCACTGCCTCTCCCACTGTCTGCCCATACAACATCCACCCATTAATCCGTCCTACTCTGAATCTACGTTCTCCTGATCTGTTCCCCCATTTTCTTCGTCTGTATCCACACTTTCCTCATCTGCCCCTATATTCTCCTGATCCGTAACCAAAGTTTCCGGGTCTGAATTCACATTTTCCTGATCGGCGCCCACGCTATCCGGATCAACACCCATATCCTCCTGATCTGTGCCCACAGTATCTTCCTGATCTGTGCCCACAGTATCTTCCTGATCTGTGCCCACAGTATCCTCCTGATCTGTGCCCACATCCTCCTGATCTGTACCAACAGTGTCCTGATCTTTACCCACCTTATCCTTACCCACCTTCTCCTCCAGGGCCCTCCTCTGTGCCTCGGCTGCCCGCCTGGCCTTAGTGCTGTTGGTCACTCGAAACTTGAGCATGGTTGCTAGTGGTTGTAGGAGTAGGTGGTAGTGGTGGTGGTGGTTGTAGCAACTGTAGGGAGGTGGTGGTTGTTCTAGTGGCTGTGGTAGTAGATATCAATGGTGGCAGCGGTGGGTTTGATAGCTGCCGGGGTTGGTAGTATTAACGGACAGAGTTATGAATCAGGTAGTGGTGATAGCAATGGTTAGTGGTGCATTTATTGATGGCACTACTCAATGATTTTGATGTTGGAAGCAGGTAGCAATTGTGGGTGGCAGCAGACGTAACATGTGATGATGGCAACGACAAATAGAAGTGTCAGTAAATGTTGACATGAGTGTTCGAAGAAGAGGTTTATGTTAGAAGTGGGTGATGGAGGTTGTGTCAGCAGTGGGTGGTGGTTGTGTCAGCAGTGGGTGGTGGTTGTATCAACAGTGGGTGGTGGTTGTGTCAACAGTGGGTGGTGGTTGTGTCAGCAGTGGGTGGTGGTTGTATCAACAGTGGGTGGTGGTTGTATCAACAGTGGGTGGTGGTTGTATCAACAGTGGATGGAGGTTGTGTCAGCAGAAGGTGGTGGTGTCAGTGGAGGTTATCAGCAACAGCAAGTGGTGGAATCAACAGCGAGTGGTAGCAGCAGCGACAATGGTAGTGGTGGCAGCAGTGGGTGGTAGTGGCAGTAGTGGATGATGATGGCAGTAGATGGTGGAGATGGTGGTAGCTGGAGGTGGCAGTGGCAGCAGTAGCAGGTGGAGATGGTAGCGGCAGAAGCAGGTGGTGAAGTCAGCGGAAGCAGGTGGTGGTGGCAGCGATATCAGATGGTGGTGATGGTGGCAAAAGCAGGTGGTGATACAGGTGGTGGTGTTCGAGCCAGGTCCTCCCTAGCCACCCTGTAAAAAAAAGGAAGAACATGATGTTGGAACGAGTTATGCAAGGCTATACACGGGTTATACACACTATACACATACACGTTTGAGTCAAGAGGTCTTATGAGACGCTCTCACGTGCCTTATCTCAACTATAATGCACAAACGTTTAGACTGAAAACAGTTAATGCTTTTATTCATAGAAAAGAACAATGCCAAAAAAATGATTCGTTTACCTGTGTTCGACAAAGTTGTTCATACAATATTGCACACCAGTTTTCAAGCACACTATAATATATGTACTTTAGTTTAAACTACAACACGATGTCCATTACGTGACATCACAACATTCTGGAGGGTTTTGTAGCACCTCAAGATTAATGTTTTGCCAGTTGTTCTAAAACTAGTAAAGTCACATATATATGCATGTTTAAACTCATGATTCAAATGAAATAAATGAGTTTCTAGGGGGGCAGGCTTCAGATGAGCTGAGGTAGGATAACAGCACTTGCTTTCAGTTTCACTAGATACTTCAACTGACAGCTCCCAATGAACCCTAGTGTTAAAGAGAGAGAGAGAGAGAGAGAGAGAGAGAGAGAGAGAGAGAGAGAGAGAGAGAGAGAGAGAGAGAGAGAGAGAGAGAGAGAGAGAGAGAGAGAGAGAGAGAGGAGAGAGAGGAGAGAGAGGAGAGAGAGGAGAGAGAGGAGAGAGAGGAGAGAGAGGAGAGAGAGGAGAGAGAGGAGAGAGAGGAGAGAGTGGAGAGAGTGGAGAGAGTGGAGAGAGTGGAGAGAGTGGAGAGAGTGGAGAGAGTGGAGAGAGTGGAGAGAGTGGAGAGAGAGAGAGAGAGAGAGAGAGAGAGAGAGAGAGAGAGAGAGAGAGAGAGAGAGAGAGAGAGAGAGAGAGAGAGAGAGAGAGAGAGAGAGAGAGAGAGAGAGAGAAATCTCTGTGAATGGTGGGTGGGTGAAAGGGGGGAAGAAAGGAAGGGGGAGGGGGAGAATGATGAGAGGGAGGGGGACCGAAGTTTTGTTTTGAAACCTTGAGAACCACACCCTGTTGGTGACGTCACTCTTGGGAGCGAGGTTGCGACGTCATCATCCAGTTAATGAGGTGGTGACGTAATATTTTTGCAGCTGACACGACAGTGACGTCACAAGTCTTCAACCTACACGATGACCTCACGCATGACTCCGTCACGTGATACGACATACTGAAATGTCACACACCAACCCACCCTCCCGTTTTGGTAGTACTTATAACAACGATGAAGACCACAGTATATATATCGACATACAACGAAATTATAAAGTAGAAATCTGAGCTATTGAGTTGGACAAACTGGAAAACTATTTTTACCTGTGTTGCTTTGACAAACTTAACTAACCTAACCTTCCCAGCCTAATATAGAACATACGTGTGCTATACTAGGCCTAAGAATATTTAAGTTTTTGTTTCTTCATTTATTTTAAAAGAATTCCTAACTATATAGTCAGTATACTACTATCTAATAGTCAGTATACTACTATCTAATAGTCAGTATACTACTATCTAACAGTTAAGTACGTACGAATTCGTGACTATTGACGACCGTCCCAATAGGAACTATCTAAACCGGAGGATGGACTGCAACCCCCCCCCCCCACACACACACTTCTGATTCCATATAAATTATTTTTATACAATTTAATTTAGTATCTGTACGGCTGATATTATTGTGTCGTCATATCACCCACCTCCCCTCCCACCCCTCTTCCCAGGGCGGGACAAAAATGATTGGGAAACATTATACTTCACCCGATGCCTCTGTTCACCTAGCAGTAAATAGGTGCCAGGGAGTAAGGCTGCATCCTGGGGAAGATCAGTAGACCGATCTTGATGGAGACCTGAGAAAAACTCTGACATAAATGTAGTATATATTCAAATTATCCCGGTTAAACATTCATGTGTGTGTGTGTGTGTAATTACCTAAGTGTAATTACCTAAGTGTAGTTACAGGATGAGAGCTACGCTCGTGGTGTCCCGTCTTCCCAGCACTCTTTGTCATATAACGCTTTGAAACTACTGACGGTCTTGGCCTCCACCACCTTCTCACTTAACTTGTTCCAACCGTCTACCACTCTATTTGCGAAGGTGAATTTTCTTATATTTCTTCGGCATCTGTGTTTAGCTAGTTTAAATCTATGACCTCTTGTTCTTGAAGTTCCAGGTCTCAGGAAGTCTTCCCTGTCGATTTTGTCAATTCCTGTTACTATTTTGTATGTAGTGATCATATCACCTCTTTTTCTTCTGTCTTCTAGTTTTGGCATATTTAATGCTTCTAACCTCTCCTCGTAGCTCTTGCCCTTCAGTTCTGGGAGCCACTTAGTAGCATGTCTTTGCACCTTTTCCAGTTTGTTGATGTGCTTCTTAAGATATGGGCACCACACAACAGCTGCATATTCTAGCTTTGGCCTAACAAAAGTCATGAACAATTTCTTTAGTATATCGCCATCCATGTATTTAAATGCAATTCTGAAGTTAGAAAGCATAGCATAGGCTCCTTGCACAATATTCTTTATGTGGTCCTCAGGTGATAGTTTTCTATCTAGAACCACTCCTAGATCTCTTTCTTTATCAGAATTCTTTAAAGATTTCTCACATAATATATAGGTTGTGTGGGGTCTATGTTCTCCTATTCCACATTCCATAACATGACATTTATTAACATTAAATTCCATTTGCCAAGTGGTGCTCCATATACTTATTTTGTCCAGGTCTTTTTGAAGGGCATGACAGTCATCTAAATTTCTTATCCTTCCTATTATCTTAGCATCATCAGCAAACATGTTCATATAATTCTGTATACCAACTGGTAGATCATTTATGTACACAATAAACATCACTGGTGCAAGAACTGAACCCTGTGGTACTCCACTTGTGACATTTCTCCATTCTGATACATTGCCTCTGATTACTGCCCTCATTTTTCTATCAGTCAGAAAATTTTTCATCCATGATAGAAGCTTACCTGTCACCCCTCCAATATTTTCCAGTTTCCAGAACAACCTCTTATGTGGAACTCTGTCGAAAGCCTTTTTTAGGTCCAGATAGATGCAGTCAACCCAACCATCTCTTTCCTGTAATATCTCTGTGGCTCGATCATAGAAACTGAGTAAATTCGATACACAGGATCTTCCAGATCGAAAACCATACTGTCTGTCTGATATTATATCATTTCTCTCTAGGTGTTCTACCCATTTAGTTTTGATTAGTTTTTCCAATACTTTCACTATTACACTTGTTAATGATACAGGTCTATAATTGAGGGGGTCTTCCCTGCTGCCACTTTTGTAGATTGGAACTATGTTAGCCTGTTTCCACCCGTCTGCTACGATTCCTGTACACAGGGATGCCTGAAAGATCAGGTGAAGTGGAATGCTGAGCTCAGATGCACATTCTCTCAGAACCCATGGTGAAACGCCATCTGGGCCAGCTGCTTTGTTCTTACCGAGCTCCTTGAGCATTTTTTCCACTTCGTCTCTAGACACCTCTATGTGTTCTATGTTGTTCTCTGGAATTCTTATTGTATCTGGTTCCCTAAAGATTTCATTTTGTACAAACACACTTTGGAACTTTTCGTTTAGTGTTTCACACATTTCCTTTTCATCTTCCGTGAATCTATTTCCCATTTTCAACCTCTGAATATTATCCTTTACCTGCAATTTGTTGTTTATGAATTTATAGAATAGACCTGGTTCTGTTTTACATTTGTCCGCAATCCCTTTTTCAAAATTTCTTTCTGCCTCTCTCCTCACTGCCGTGTAGTTGTTTCTCGCATCTTTGTATCGCTGGTATGTTTGGGGGTTCGGCCTCTTCCTGTATTGATTCCATTTTTGTGTCTTTCGGTCTCTAGCCCTCTCGCAATTTCTATTGAACCAATCCTGTTTCCTAGTTCTGCATCTCTGTTTTGGTATAAATTTTTTTGTGCCTTTATCATATATTTCACAAAACTTGCCATACATCTCATTCACTTCCTTGCCTAGCATCAAGTCTGTCCAATTATACTCACTAAAAAAATTTCTAAGGTCACCATAATGTCCTCTCCTGAAGTCTGGTTTTTCAACTGCTTCAACCTCCTTATTTTCTTCCAGCTTATAACGCATTGCATACTTTATTCCCAAAAAGACATGGTCACTTTTACCCAAGGGAGGAAGGTACTGAATGTCAAATATCTCTTCCTCCTTCCTGGTAAATATCAAATCTAGCATGGAGGGAACGTCCCCTTCCCTCATCCTCGTAGCTTGTTTAACATGTTGATACAAGAATGTTTCCAGGATGAGGTCTACAAATTTACAGGTCCAAAAATCTTCTGTTTTAGCTTCATATGCTTCCCAGTCTATGGATTTCAAGTTGAAGTCACCGACTATCAACAGTCGTGATCTATCGTTATCCGCTCTCGCTATAATCTCTCTCATTATTGTTATAAGACCTTCACGTTTACTATCTAGCTCCTCCTTTGACCATGTGCTGCTTGGCGGTGGACTATATGCATTTATCATCATTAGTTTATCATCCTCATAGCAGATCTCTAGTGCTATTATGTCAACTTCTTGTGGATTGGCAGTCATTATTTCCTTCACCTTTAGGTGTTCTTTTACCAGCACAGCAACGCCACCGCCTTTCCTAATTTTTCTGTCCCGTCTCCAAATTGAGTAGCCCCTTGGGAATATGACCTCATTTAAAATTACATCTTCAAGTTTTGTCTCCGTGAGTGCAACAATGTCTGGTGTCTGCAGCTGTATTACATCACTTAACTCCAGTATCTTCGATCTCACTCCATCTATGTTGGTGTATGCAATCTTCAGGAACTTGTTCCCCCTCTCCTTATTCTTCACTCCCCCTCTCTCTATTGATTTTGTTGGTTTGCCTTTATGTACCACTTTACTGGTTTGCCTACCCCTATCACTTTGTAGAAAAAAGAATTTATTTCTTCTTCATTCCTGCTCTCATTTAAATGTTTTGCCTCGGCGAGGTTCAGTTTCAGCTTC